AATTAAATCATATTAAATAAATAAATAAAAACAGACTTCCCTCCAAAGTCCAAACTCTACTCTCAAATAAATAGTCATTCCCTCCAAAACACTCGCATTCAAATTTTACCCACATTTGAAAATGAGAATCGCCGAGATTTCGTCACCGGAGATCCGGCAACAATCCAGCCACAACCTCCACCACTGCCTCATCTCTCAACTCGACTCTTTAATTAAACAAACCGAAAATCACCACTCTCCTAACAACCTTTCCACTCTCTCCTCCGATCTCAAACAAACCCTAACTCAACTTACTCAACTTGCTCCCTTTCCCAACAACTCACTCAAGCTTCAACTCTGGAAACTCGCCTACCGGCTCTGGAACTCTTGCGTCGATCTCTCAAATGCCGCCTCCATTTCCCGCTCTTCCTCCGCCGACGAACACATCGCCATTCTTCGCCACGTTGCCGCCGATCTCCTCTCCCTCGCTGCTGACGTCTCCGGCGTTCCTTCTCCCGCCATCAAGTCCGCCTCCTTCTACTACAAAACCGGTCTCATCTGGCACAATCTCAGAAAGTTCGATCTCGCTTCGATTTGTTTTGAAAAAGCCACGGAGATTGTATCCAAGCTCGATATTAAGAAGATTTCCGACTGGGGAGAGAAGAAAATGATATTAGATATAAATATCGCGAGATCTCGGACTGCCTGGGAAGTTCTTGACCGAAAAATCGCGATAAATTTACTCAACCGAGCCAAATGTCTTCTCTTCGGCTCGTTTGACCATTACAAAGCGCTTGCGAATCAGTTCTTGATGTTTGGCAAGAGCATTTTATCAAAACACGACACCGCTTCATTAAACGATGCGCTGAAGCTGATGAACGAAGCGTTGGATCTCTGCGAGAAGGGATTGGATGAAGTGAGAACGCGTGAAGAGATGTCGGAGCTCAAGGATTTAAAATTCAAAACGCTGCGTTTCATATCGGCGGTTCATTTGCAAAAGGGAGAATACGAGAGCGTGATCAAGTGCGTGAGGGTTTTAAGAGAGGGTAGTTTCGGAAACGGTGGTGAGGTTGGGGACCACCACGCGAGTTTGCCGGTTTTGGCAATGAAGGCGTGGCTGGGTTTGGGGAGATACAGTGAAGCGGAGAAGGAGCTGAGGGACATGGTGGTAATTAAGGGGGTTCCGGAGACTATTTGGGTGTCGGCGGTGGAGGCTTACTTTCAGGCGGCGGGAACGGCGGGTGCTGAGACTGCAAAAGGTGTGTTTCTGGGACTGTTGGGACGGTGCCACGTCAGTGCCAAATCTGCGGTCAGAGTGGCCCACAGGGTTGTTGGAGATGATGGGGATGGCGTTAGTGCAGGGGCAGCCAAAGTGAGGGCCAAGGTGGTGGCAGAGTTGGTATCTGATGAGAGAGTACTGGCGCTTTTTGCCGGTGATGCCGCGGCCAAGGATAGAACCACCATGCATGCCGTTTTGTGGAATTGGTAATTTAATGTTTTTTTGTAAGGGATTACACACAATGGATGAAATTGCCGCTAACGATATTAATTCTTAATAATTCTAGTTCTGCTTTATTTGATAATCTTATTTTAATTATAGGATAACAAGAAAAGTTATCTAACCCTTCAAAATCAACCATTAGATAATCTGGGATATAAATCTCAACTCTGTAACTTCGTATGTTTAACTACATTTAATATTAAGTCAGGAAAATGGTCTATGCGTTTATTTGTATGGGTTAGAACTGACTCGAAAATATTACAATTTTTTTGTATGGGTTTTCTACGCGTTTTTGTACTTTAATCTTAATGTGCAGTAAACCTATCGTTGTCCTCGAGTCTGCGGTGTTATTCATTTTTCTTTATTTGTCTTTTGTAGTGCTTCGAATCATTTTCGAGTGAAAGACTATGAGATGAGTGCAGAGATGTTTGAGAAATCGATGCTATATCTTCCATTTGACTTAGAAAATAGAAACCTCCGAGCCAAGAGCTTCAGAGTTTTGTGTCTCTGTTACCTTGGACTTTCTCAGCTTGATCGAGCTCAAGAATACATCATTGAGGCAGAAAAGGTATTTTGTTTAATTGTTATCTAGAGACTAGAGTTTGTTGGTCTATAAGATAATCTATATCTTTAATTACCTATGAACCAAGTCATATTCAACTGTGTTTACTCTTTTTCCTTGTGCAGCTTGAACCCAACATAGGCTCTGCTTTCCTTAAGGTGCTTTCTCTCTATCAAAAACACTTGCACGCACACTTTGCAAATTGCAATCTGAAACAATTTCACTGATAATTTGGTGCTAAACTCAGATTACATAAACACAATATCAAAGTCTCTGTGAGTTCATTTTCTAATGGTTAAATACCAACACGATGTTTCTTCTGTTTTGAGCAGTTCAAAGTCCTTCTGCAAAAAAAGGACCATAAGAATGCTATTAATCAAATCCTGGCAATGACAATCTGCCTCGACTTCACTCCAGACTTCCTTTCCCTTTCAGCCCATGAAGCTGTTGCTTGCTGTGCTCTTCCAGTTGCTGTTGCCGCTCTATCCAATCTCCTAAACTTCTACACGTCAGGACCATCCATGCCATCCATGCCAACAACAGAAGTTGTAGTTTTACGTACCTTAGTTACAATCCTGACTCAAGAACCAGGCAATGAGTCAGAAATCCTCAAATACGTGAAACGAGCTCATACGCGGGCATCTGAACTTGGGCCTGACTATTTTTTTGGCAAAGAGGAGGCTGGAAGACGAGAACAGAATTGGTTTGCAGTGATGTCTTGGAATTTTGGGACAAAATGTGGGAAGGAGAAGAATTATGAATTGTGTGTTGACTTTTTGAGATTCGCTTCAGAATTTTTTGGTGGTTTGGTTGATGGGAAAGTGGAAGAAAATAGTGTCATGGTTTGCAAATCATTAATTCTTACTGTATCTGCCATGATAGCCTTAGAGAATCAAAAGCAGACTGCATTGGAGGACACTGAAGTGAAACAAGCTGTTGAACTGCTAGAAAGATCGGAGAAGGTACTGTATGGTTGTAAATAAACCAAGCCTTGCTACTTCTGTTCGAAATTGTGGAAGCCTATGCCTCATGCTTTACAATTTCTTCTGTTGAAACTCTCTTCACTCCCATATATGCTTTTGGTTTTTCGTTGCAGATACTGACTTCATTGTCACCGGGGTCTATGGAGTCCGAACTCTACTTCATGTATACATTCACCGCCTATGATATACAAGGGAGGCTCAACAATCCAGAATCTCAACAACTCCTTGTAAAGAAATTTGCCAGCTCAAAGGCTTGCACTCCCAAAAACCTCCTCCAGATTGGCCTCGCTGCCTCACAGGGTCCAAGGTCCAATCCTCAAGTAGCCACCTTCGCTCTTAATGAGAGCCTCTCAGCTCTGCTTTCTTGCCCCTCACCTGACTACCAAAACGTGGCCCTAACCGTCCGCAAGCTAATCGCAGTAGCCAGCATTCACAGAGGCGAAACAGATGATGATGCAGTGCACAGTATGTACAAACAAGCGCATCGAATAATGGTGGGGCTTAAGGAAGGTGAGTATCCCTCAGAAGAAGGAAAATGGCTTGCAATGACTGCATGGAACCGCGCAGCAATGCCGGTGAGGCTGGGGCAGATTGAGCTTGCAAGAAAGTGGATGAATGCTGGAGTGGAAATTGCTGGGAAAGTTGTTGGAATGGAGACTTACAGGGCATGCATGGAGGATTTCATTTCTAGTTTCGAAAATAAATGTCATGAGCACAAAAACCATGCTAGTGAAAGCAGGCCTCAGATGGTGTTATGATCCATTATGTGTATGTCTTACAGAAATCATCAGTGGTACATCTATTTTGTAAATTGTAAAGAAACTTATATGCACTATTAAATACATACTCAAAAGAGACTGTAAGGTTAAGAATTATATATCCATGAAAAGCTCAAGTGTTAAGACGTTACATATTTTTGGGGCAATTTTTTTTTTTTTTTTCTATTATTTATAAAATTTAGGTCAAATGTTGGCTTTGAGTAATTAGTTAGAGGCAAGGTTTTAAAACCCAGCCTAGGGTGAAACCTGACAAAGCGGCCGAGTTTCAGATTGATCGGTTGAATTGGTTTGAATGACAGGTTAAACAAGTGATGTCAGCATGTAAAAAAGTTTAAAATCCAACAAAAACACCCTTAAAAATTACATAAGTCTTTATAGGTTTGAAATCTTGCAAAAACACCCTAAATTATATCGCCGGCTTCGACAACTCAGCTAAATAGGGCTTGTTTCCAATGTTGACAACATACCCTATCATCACGAAAACTCTCCTCTCAACCTCCTGACCAAACTATATCTAACCCACAACATTCGCCTCACCAATCGTTGGTAATAGCTTCTTGTTGTTGTCAATTTATTTTTGCAATTTTTGGTTGTTTGACTCACTAGAAAATCACCTTCATCGCCACCCTTCCTCTTCAAACCCCCCAACATCCAAGCCACCAATTGTTCTTCGATCGTTGTCCTAATTTCTAGGGTTTGCCATGAACAGTAAAATTGGTAACCCGGCCTGGTGAATGCCTCGGGTCCTAGTTAAACCGACCGAGTTGGACAGGGTTTTAAAACACTAGTTAGAGGTGGACAAATGTAGCATGGATCGGTTATTTGGTTGAATTATTCAGTATAAGAAAACTTTCTAAAAAAAACAATATCTTACTATGCCATGTAAATTTAAAAATTGAACTGTAAAACTTGGTTAGTTGTGGTTTTATTTTATCGATTTTAGTTGAGGGGTTTTTTTTTTTTTAATTATTTTCAAGGGCATTTTATAGATTTTAGGGGTTTTTTTGGTCATTTCAGGTAATTTAGAAAAATTAAAAAATTAATGGTCGGATACCATATGGTTTGGTTCAAATAAACCAAGAACAAAAAATCGTTCTGTACAATATGTGGTTTTTTTTTTGGGCCCCTACAAGTAGTAATTTCTCTGATTCTCGGGCTTGTCCGGGCGGACCTCAAAGGCCTTATCCCTCATTATTAGCCCAACCATTTCTACTCTTATCGTCTCCCTCTTCCTCTTCCTCTCACTCCTCCATGCTAATTATGGAGTCTCTTTCTTTGCTCCTCTCATCCTCTCCACCTCTTCAAAACCACCCTAGAACCCTTAAATCTACCTCCTCCAAATCCACTTCTATTCTCCCCAACTCTCTCTCTCTTTCTTCTTCTTCAACCCATTCTTCCACCACCCAAATAAACGATCTTTCTCTTCTCAAAACTTTAACCAAAACCCATCTCTCTTTCACCATAGTTGACCTCTTTACTTCTCTCCCTTGCCTTGCAGCTGAAACTGTTGTCTCTTCAACCGAACCGGCTTCAGACAAAATAAACTTGGAGTCAATCTTAATCTCCATTGATGACTTCTTCAACAGATACCCTTTCTTTGTTGCTACCTGTACATTCATTTGGCTTTTTGTTATACCCTTAACCCAACAGTACTTAAGCAAATATAAGTTGGTCTCTGCCATTGATGCTTTTAGGAAACTCCGTGATGACCCTAATGCTCAGCTTCTCGATATCAGGAACACCAAGACTTTGGTGTCTCTGGGGTCTCCCAATTTGAAATCTTTAAGCAAGAGTGTGGTTCAGGTTCAATTTACTGAAGGAGATGAAGATGGGTTTGTTAAGAATGTGTTGGATAATTTTGCTGACCCTGCAAATACTGTTCTCTGTATTATGGACAAGTAAGTTTATTTATTTATTTATTTTTTTTAATAGCAGAAACTTAAGTTTTTGGTCTTACTATAAAGAGAAATATGCAAATTGGAGATTGAATTAATGGTTGATGATTGGAATTTTGTTTCATTAGTAATAATGTTTTTGTGTGTAAGGTAGTTTTGAAGGTAATTCCTTGACTGCGGCGGAGTTGTTGTTCAAGAATGGGTTCAAAGAGGCTTATGCAATCAAGGGTGGGGTTAGAGGCAAACAAGGGTGGTTGGTATGTTACTACTTTCTAATCTTCCATCACTTTCCTGTTAAATGCTTCGGCCTTCCATTATGCGCACTGAGATGCGTTGTGATATGCATTTGATACTATTTTGTTGATGTTCTTGATCCATTATTTTTAAGCCTCCTGAAAGATGTCACTTCGGCCAGATGGTTGTTTAATTCGTTAGCATTTAGTGGTTGCTTGGCGGTAATCAACTTTTGCATTTGGTGTACATTTGTGATTTGTTCATTTTTTTTGTTCTCTATAATTCACAAGAAACCTTAGACAATCTTTCGCCTTAGAGTTGAGAAACACAATTTAAACCATGGAAGACATTGGTAAAATAAATAAACTAAGCATGGTGTTGGACATCAGTTCGACTGAAGAAAGCCTTATATTCGAACTCTGTTGGCTCAGATTCTCAGAAATAATTACTATATACTAGATCCAAAGTATGTAGTTTAGATTGACAGATTAATACTATTATTTTATGGCCAACTGAGAATTTTATCTTCAGCTGATTAGATACCATATAAAATAGGCTTTACTTTGTTGATGGAGGTAAACGAGTCAACCCTTCTTGCCCACTTCCCAATTTCTCTATCTTCTGCTTTTATATGTGCATAAACTTTTATTCATTATTAAGGCCAATGTATATGTTCAACTACAGTCTGTATTTGTTAATAAGTAGATGTCGAAGTTTTATCTATTAGATGATGAAATCTGAGTGGGACATCTTACAGCCGTGTTAGGATTCCATTTTTATTCTAGCAAAAGAAATATGATTTTAGCACCAAGACTCATATCTTCGATTTGATTTCATTTGGTCTCTCCCGTGGATCTCATTCTAGTAGTTGGCCCTCGACTTATTATGTTTTACGTTTGTTTTCTTGCAGGAAATACAGGATACCTTATTGCCACCTTCTGTACACATCATACCAAGGAAGAAAAAGAAGGCTAAAGTTTCGCAAAAGCTTGGGATAAATGGAGTTAACCAACAATCTGGAGATAAAAAGGAGGACTCCTCATCTGTAAGTGTCCCTATTGTATAAAGCCAAATGGAGAACAATGTGCACTTAAACAACTCTACAAACATAAAAATTGGCTCAAGATCATCCTCTTTCTACCAAATTTATGATCATTCTTTCTCGCTGTCTCTCTTTTGCATCAGCAAATGTGAGATATTATAATATTCTAAATTTCATGTTCAGTGAGGCATGTGGATTTTATGTATGGCCTATAGTCCTGTTAGATTGGTTGTGCATATGACATATCTGTAGTGATATGTGCATTTGGAAATTAAATCAAATTGGTCAATGAATATGAATTGCATTATAAGCATCATGCAGTCGAAATGGAACCACAGGGATTACCCTTATAAAACATGCATAGTGCTACAATCAAAGCACAAAATTTGTACCAACAAATAAGCTTAGTACTAACTTTATTTCTGTGCATTTGTAAAGTACCCAGATCTGAAACCACCATCCTCGCCGACGCCATCAAAGCCATGAAACCAATGCTACAAGGATCTTGCTCAAATTCAATCATCTTTGAGATTCATCTTCTGGTAAGCCATGAAACTCAAGGATCAAAGCGATGAAACTGATGCTTCAAGGATCTTGCCGAAACTCAATCATCTTTGAGATGCATCTTCAGTTAATTATACGAGCTGGTTTCCAATTTTGTCCAAGTACTCGTGGTGTATAAGTGTTGTGCACTTCCAAGTACTTGTGGTGTATAAGTGTTGTGCACTTGTGCTATACTGAGAATATTGATAGTAATTATTCTCAACTTTGTATAAAATGTGAAGGTGCATCCCTGCTTTTGGAATTTGATTCATTTGCAAATTCTGTCAACCAGTTTTATGATATTGATTCCTTGTTTAGTTAATTTTTATGAAGGATTTATGCACCCATTGACAATATATATATATATTATCGAGTTTGATAACTAGTTATAGCAAATTTATTAATTAATTTAAATTAAATTTCATGTAAATTTGTGTACTTAATATTACATGGGGTACATGCATATTTGATCATATTATAAAGTATGAGTAAGCGACTTTTTTAATTCCACTCAAATAATAGCTTAATGGTACTTTTTCACCTAAATTTAATATAATCAACTTAGATTGAATTATATTCAAATTTTATTCCGTTTTTTATTCTAGTATCGTTACGACCCTACACAACTATCATTCTCTTCCTCAACCATCACCAAAATCTCTCAAACTTTACTCTTGTCGACCCCATCGATCGAGTAATTAGGGTTTGTATAATCGCTCCTCTCAAGTCAAATTTCTATCAATCTCAACTACTAAAATCCAACTTTCTAACATTAAAAGACTCATCGACCTCTCCTCTTAAAAAACTTCAATAGTTTGGACCGAATTTGCTCTCTGTCCGTTGAAATATAAATTTGGATTATAAAATAATATTTTAAAAGGTTGCAGATGAGAAAGTGTTATTAAGTCATTAGTTAGGTGGAAAAAAGACGTTAACTCTATAAAGTATCACCTATGAATTTATTAGAAACAATTAACAGTGAAATTGACTAACATAAATAAAAAAAATCTTGTAATTGTTATAAAACTAAAGTTATAAAGAAAAATAATAATAATAATATATAAGACTGAATTTCATTATTTTCTTTTGGATTGGCATAATATCTCGATTCATATTTTCGGCCGAAAGAAATCTCAATTTATAAACTCATAATCATATGCATATAATAATAATAATAATAATAAATATTTACAGATTTTCATAAAACTATCCCTAAGGTTTAGTTAATACTCAAATTTATGGTATTTTTACAAGAAATCATAAAAAAAAAAACATGGGAATTTGGAGTTGCAATAAATTTAAACAATTTAATTTTAAACTGTAAATATATTTAAATGATTAAATTCAATTGGTTCAAGGGTAATTTAGTCATTTAATTTGATGTATTATATAAAAATAACTTAATTTACCGGACGGTAAGACTTAAGCCATCTGGGTAGGTTACTTAGAAATCTTGTATTCGAATCTCACAAAGTATTCAATGGACTTTAAAGATTAGTTGAAATATGTGCAAACTGACCAACACACTGGATTATTAAAAAAAAAACCTAGCCCATTGAACTTATAAGGTGTTCAAAGCTGGCCCAAAAAACCTCCCGCTATATTTTTTAAAATTATTATTTAAATATATAAAGAAAGGTCATCTATATAGGGGGCATTTGGTTGAAGTTAATATCGGGTTACTGGGTAATGTCATCTTTTATTACTTACATTACCATGTTTGGTTGTCAAGTAATATAATATTCTTATAATCTTTCAAAACCAATAGTCATTATTGTTGGTTATATAGTTGGTAATTTGAATACTACAATTTTTCTATTTATTTTAAGATTACTTGATAATCTTAATTTTCTTATAATTTTACCCCTAAATATTAAAAATTTTGGACAATAATGTCCTTGTTTTGAAAACAATTTACAGAAATATTCATATACTATTTTATCCTTATATACAAAATTTTTAGGATATAAATACTCTTGAACTTAAAAATAATTACCCAAGACGGGTGGTCGAATCTAGCCACCACCGCTGGTTGCTGACCATTAGCACCAGAATGGCGCACAACTCGCCGGATCTAACCGACCGTGCACCAATTTGGCTGAAAATAGTCGAATCTATTTTTGTCGTTTCTAGTCAAATTCGTTAATATGATCGTTAACGGCTAGGTCAGGTGTAGTCGACTAGATCCTACTGGTCATATGCTGTTCCAACCACGATCATGAGCAACCGACAATGGTGACTGACGGCCGGTAGTGGCTTGGGTGATTGAGGTCTTTTTGTTAATTGTTAAACTTTTATTACGAGAGTATTTTAGCTAAATTCTTAAATATAAAGAGTTCAAAAATAATCTAAATAATACTATTAAAATAAAAGAATAATTCAATAATCTATATAATATATCATTAATTTAATTATTTTAACTAAATATATAAATATAATATACTCAATAATTTATTTCAATCTAACCCAACATCGTTTAATATATCATAAATTTTTTAAGGCAATTTATCTCCCTGTTACATTCCAATTGATGCAAAATTCCCTAAACCAGACCTACCCTAGTGTAATCAAACTACGTCTCCAAAATTTCTAAAACCAAGCTGTTAGCGAGGGAAAGCCAATTTGCTTCAAGGAGCGAGATCAACGACCCAAGACATTAAACGAGGTGAGATAGTTCTATTATAATAATCTTTCGTCTCAAGATCATTAAAATTTTCAGTGTTTAGATGCGAATTTCTTGTCCTGGGTTTGGTTGTTTTTGAATAACTATTGCGTCCTTCACGAATTTCTAACTGTTTTCACCATTTTAAATAACTGGGTTATTGTAGTCGAAGTTGAAACTCATGGATATATTATCTTGGGATGGAGCCCTTTCGTCAAGTGAATTTTCTATTGCTGCTCACGATTTCATTGAGAAATGGAAAAAATTCAACCCCACTTATCCTCCATGGTCATGGGTTACTTGCAAAAAAAAATCTTGCGTTGCTTCTCATGAGGTTCATTTTAATTAACTATTCTGTCACCTTTTGCTGTGTTTATTTCTGGGTCTAAATCTTTTACATAATTTTTACTCTTTTATAGGTTGAGAAATATTTGTCACTGGAGAACATTTCCCTTCTCAGTTTACGTGAGGTTTGGCCTTTTTGTTAGTTCTTGATGCTATATTGAAATTAGTTCTTTAATGGCAGAATTGATGTTACAAAGACTGTTATTGTTTTAATAGGAAGATCATGGTGATGAAAGTCAAATAGGGGAAGAAGAAATTAGCTGTTCTAAGGAAGAGGAGCCCATTGATTCTGCTACTTTAGTATGTATATATGAACTAATTTAATTGCTTGGGTAGGACTCTTTCTGATTTAGTACTTTTGGTTCTTGTTTCTTTTTGTTTTGTTGATCATCATCTTGTTCTAATTTGAAGGTTGAGAGTTTTGATCGTGAAGTACATTACTACGACTTTCATATAGTGTACAGTGCTTCATATAGGGTTCCAGTGCTCTATTTCCGTGCATTTTTTAGTGGTATGCTATTCTCTATGTGATCAATTATTAACAGAGTAGAATGTGGTAATTTTGCATTATGGTAAACTTATATATATATTTCAACCAAAATAATTGTGAATGTATTTATAATATTAATATGATGAAACGTGAAGTTTTGGTAATGCCTTATGTATATCCATGTCTAATATTACTTTAGTGACAACTGTTCTGCTTAGTCATTCTACAAACAAACAAATATGTATACAATGAATTTTTTTATTTGGAAGGGATGAGTTAGAGGTGAGGGTGGGGAATATTTTTGGTTGTTTCTCATGATGTGTTAGATTAAATGTTAATGTTTTCTGTGAATTACTGAACACTTACTGTGGATCCCTAAAAGATGGTGATATTGATGAGTTGCAATGTGCTTCAATGATGGAGCATTGATGATATACTGTAGAACTCTACTATGAAAGTATAAGTCAATTTTGGAGTTTCTGGAAATGAATGTATTTCTGGATAGGGCAGTCCTCACCTTCACACATGGGAGTAGAATTCATTTTTCTTATTGCCAAATTTTATCAGTTATTTGCCTAAATGATTTTCAAGCGTTATTGGTGTTTAGGTTACCTATACTGGCCTCGTGCATTAGGCCGGGATTATATTGGTGTATAGGTTAATATTGGTCTTATATTCACTGAAGTGAATAGGGACCCTGAGATTGTTCTAGCACTTAATCCTTTACTTGAATTTTGTCATTTCCTTGAGTTGTGGAACTCTGATAATCTCTAGAATCAGGGTGCTTGGAGAAATTGTGATTTTTGATTTCTTGCCTTCTTAGAATCCTTCACATGAATGGCTCAATGTTCAACAATTCTAGGAATTGGAAAATTTTGCCTTTTCTATGCATACACCAAAAATTGTTTGGAGACTACTAATGTGGTGGCTTTTGCTTCATGCAGATGGACAGCCTTTGGTTTTGGATGAAATTGAAAAAGATCTTCCTGCCTGTTCAGCAAAGGTTTTGTTGGAATCAAAATGGACGTTCATAACTCAGGAGGTTATTCTCTCTTATCTATGCATAAGTGACTGGAATGGATATGCTTGTTTACTATGCATATAAAAATGATATATATTCTTTTTCCATTTATATCTTGGCATGTATAACCACATTGACAGGTTGGGTCCTCCTTGTGCTAAACAATAGAACACATTAAACCATCTTAGCTTAACTTTCTAACTTTTTAAATTTTAATTCCATAAAATAATTGTGATTCTGTTTTTGGTTATAATTGAAGCAAAAAGTTCTGTTTAGTTCAATGATTTTTGGTTCCATCACAAGAAATATGCTATAAACATGTTTACTAGTAGCATGAGTTGTTTGCATGCTAATGTTTAACCATGACTATACGTCTGGCACCAACTGTGAGGGAATAATTGAAAAAGATTATGATATTGGTCACCAAAGTACGGATGTGCCTGTATCCAAATACCAAAATAGAAATTGGTTGGTATTTCACATTTCGGGGATCACAAGAACAGATAAAAGAGGAATGCCCTTTTTGTGTTAACTGCATGTAAAGTTAATGAAGCAGCACAATCGAATTATTGTTGAGCATCAGCCGCTCAGCCTATCAAGATATCTAATATTGGCAGGATTTCACTGTTTCTGTCCATGACTTTATTTGGTTGATAGATTTTTTTTTCCAAGTAGAACCTATCACTTTTGAGATCAGATTTCTGGTTTGCAGAAACTTCATACATTTACTGTTGTTATTACATGTATCATGAAAGCTTATTTGGTGGAGGTAATGCTGCTTTTTCTTTTTAGAAGTCAGAAGTGAGACCTAAAATTAGGTTATCACCTTTTTCCTCTCCAAATTTATGTTGCATTTTCATTTTTTTTCTCAAAACTGATTGTTGGACCCATCTTCCACATTTCTTATTACCTCATTTTTGTTCTATGTTGAACTTTGCATGTCCGTTCTCTTCTTTGTTCATCTTTTACAAGCATATGGTAGATTTGGATGGAGTTCTGTTTATTACTTGTAAAGATTTCATGAAATGTTGAATATGATGTTTAGCTCCTGGGAATATTAATGTAAATATTCTGTTGATTGTAGGAGCATCCATACTTGAACAGGCCATGGTACAAATTGCATCCATGTGGAACTAGCGAATGGATGCTGTTGCTTTTCCTCGGCAATGCTGCTCCAGATAAACAGGGAGTAGCGGTTGATAAATATCTGGTCTCTTGGTTCTCAGTTGTTGGGCAGGTAGTTGGTCTTAGGATCCCATTTGAAATGTTGAACGATAGTAATCAGCCGTAGCATTGAGATGCGTGTTGTACAGACAGAGTTTAACTCTTGTTAATGAAATCAGTCTTCAGTAGAGAAAGTTGAAGAAAATATATCTCTGTGTTGTTTTTCATCTGGAAAATGGAAATCTAATAAAACTGAAGGCTTTACAGTGAAAATGCTCAAGAGAATAATTCAGATTAAGTATGCTGGAAATGTCAAAAACATGGAGACAAATGAAACAAACAGAATATTAGCGGCTACTTCTCCCAAGTAATTCTGTGGTATTAACTATTTGTTTTCTTCTGAACTTTGGGAGAAAAAAATCACAATGGCTCACTTATACATAGGAGCAATATACAAATCATATTCATATGCAACAAAAACTTTCTCCTGATTGAATGCAATTGCACTGCATATAGAATCTTGAATTTTGATATATCCCTAATCAAGGGGTTCATAGCCCGGCACCCAAGCTCATTTCTTAAATGGTTTATTCCTCTGCCTGTTTCTTAGTGATCCGTCTAAAGCAAACTAGAAATTCTGTATTACCCTCTGCACCTTTTAGAGGAGACTCAATCCACCCTTTACTTAGAAATCCAAAATTCTCTACCCCCTTTATGATCTTTTCAAGAACCTACAGATGAACCAAATAAATGAATCACCATTTCATGATTTTAGGTCATTTTGCGACCAAGCTCTGGTTCACAAAGACTGGAAAATGAAATTGAAGAAACTAGGGAAAGAGAAGTTAAACAGAGAGGTCCCTTAAACATGTGACTAAAATAGACATAAAATCAGTCAGCAATAATACAGAAAATCAGTCAGCAATAATACAGAAAATTCCATACCTCCTGATGGACTAAAGGATCTCTCACAATCCCACCACCTCCTACCTGCAAACTCAAAACAAATGTTGAACTCAATCACAAAAATGACAATTAAAATTGCTTAACCACAAACAAATAAGAAGAAAAAAAAAAAGGTGTAAAATGGACAATCTACAGGCCTACATAAAGTTAGTTTGATTAAGCATGTTGAGAATAAATAAATCTTTACTCAAAGCCCCATAATACTTTACATTTTCAAGGGGGTCTGGTGTAAGGAGAAAGCATGCTCTTTCAGACCTCATATAGTTTTCAGTAGACTAATGGTGCCCTACTGCAGGGAATTCCAATGCTCTAGGAATTCTGAGAAGTGAGGAAGGAACATTTTTACTTGATCACCCTTTAAAAAATAAAGTTTCAGGAGTATTACGGAAAAAGTTCTGGAAATATTGGTACAGACACAGTCACGGTCACCTTTACAAAGCAGTGATTACGAATCCAACCAAAGCAAGAGCTAAAACATATTAAGATATTGTGAAAAAAAATGAAAAGACAAGGAATGAGGGCTATTACTTGTGATCTGCGAGCTTCAAATTGAGGTTTGACCAAGGTAACCAAAGTTGCCTCTTCTGTCATCAAATTTACCACCGCTGGCATGACCTGCTTAAACAATAAAGATCATTCCATCTATAGGTATACTGGTCATTAAGCATTAGATTTATAACAATTTCTTCACAATGAATTATAAACACAACATTATCTCAATCAGTTCTCTACCCTTCTATCAGTGGCTGATGATTATCAGGAAGTGTGCATCCCAAGTAAGCAATGGGTAATATGAATAAGGAAAATCCAAAAATAGTTGGAAAATGCAAAAACCAATAACAGCGTTGGTAAACTTAGCAATACAGTGGTTTTCCAGCACTGAAAGCTTACCGTGAGAATAGAAATGAATGAAAGGTCCAAAGTCACCAAATTAACTCTTTGTGGGAGTGTAGAGAGGTATCTTAAGTTTGTTCGTTCTATTACACAAACATGTTCATTTCGGCGAATTTTGTCAGCTACCTATTAAAAATCAACAACCGTAATCAGTCAAGACTATAAGTGATATACAAGAGCACAGAAGTAGATGGCAAGAAACATAGGCAGAAAAAAAATCTGATTAAGCCAAGAAAAAAGATCTTTAGTAATACTCAACAAAGAACTCAACAAAGGCAATTCCAAGCAACAATTCAAAAATAAAAGAACTCAACAAAGGCAAGCACAACTAGTTTTACAGTTAAGTGAATACTCTTCATCCATTCCACCCTCCCAAGATCAAATCTTTAGTAAATTGTTTAAAAACAAAATGATTTTTTTTACTACTCCTAACCTTATAACTTCTGGGTTATTCTTTCTTTTTCTCATCCCCGCAATTAGAATTGAGTCATAGCAAAACATCTATAGGTCAACAATAGACATGCCAAAACTTTTCCATTGAGCTTCCCTTAACTTAATATCAGGTCATTGGGAGCCTTGATGTTACAAAAAGTAAGCAAAAAGTAAATGTAACAATAAAGTCATTTTTACCTGTCCATAACCTACATCAACTCCATAAACAAATGATGCACCATACTGAAGTAGACAGTCAGTGAATCCTCCAGTGGACAGTCCTGAATCAAGTGCTACTTTTCCATTGACATCAACATCCAGCTGCTCAATGGCAGCTTCCAACTTATGTCCTGCTCTGGACCAACGAACAAAAGAGTAAAAATCAACGTTACATGACAAACCCATTGCACTCGAATAAAATTTTAATCTATAAAATCAAAAGAAAGGTTGCCTCGGGGAATAATCACCTACATACGTATTTTGGCACTTCAGCATTTATTTGTACAATTGCCTTATCAGAGATTGGTGTTCCAGCTTTGTTCACCACTTTTCCATCTACAAAAACTTTACCTACACCAGCAACATGTAAGAGAACGGACAATGGCTTAATCAAGTAATCAAACAACAAAAGTCAACCGATAATTCTTTACACTTCCTTTCACAACAAAGGAAATGAAAAGGAGTTCACAAAACAAGTCCTTTTTCATACCTGAAGCGGTTTAAAAATAGTGTAACTAAACACTCAGTATCGAACAAGAGTCAATAATGGGTCATATTACGGTACTGGCCAGTAGTGTTACTGGGCTAATTTTGGTTACAAATAACAATGTTTTGATTCCAAGTAACAATGCTTTAGTAACCTCAGTAAGCAAAGTAAATATCCTGATGACTGAAAAATTGTTTGCCGTAACTATTGAAAACATGAGCTTTTTAACGTTACCAGGGCCAGTACCATAGCAAATCTCATCAGTAATACTTGCATTAGATTTAAAGCATGCCCAAATCTTATCCAAGAAAAATACTTAAGAACAAAATCAAGTTTTAAACATATCTTCGTACACTTTCTGTACTCACATGCTGACATCAAATATAAAGCTAAGTAAAATAGTAAAATACATTGGATGCAATTCAAGAACTGGACTTTACCTTGTAAAATCCAAGACTGTATGTAAGTTCGACTATATTGCTGAAACCTTTCAAGACAAACCTCATCAAGCCTCCTTTTCCTAAAAAATATCAATGAAAAGTGTAAGTAAATTTAAAAAAAAGAAAAAAATTAGCAACCCGTATGTGAAATCACAACATTTATGTAACAAGAAGCATACTTTTTGGGTATTTGAATCTTTTGTGACTTAGCAACAGCAAACCTTCTGATGGGGTTTTGTCTTTGGCCTTTCAGCCATCTTCCTGAATGATAATAGCATCAACAAGAAGAACAGCTTTTAGATAACGAATACTTTTATATATGTATAAATAAAAAAGAGAAGAAGAGAGAGGCGGGTACCAAGAAGAGTATGAGAGATGGAGTTGGAGTTGGAGAAGAACAACAAGCTTGAAGTGTTGCAACTGCGAGAGATTGTGGGGAGCTTCAGAGTTTGCAGTGCCATTAATTTGATGAAGTCTTCTTTGAGAGTGCAGTGAAACAGTTTCAGAAGCTGATAAAAGGGGGGTTTTTTTTTTTTTTTGTTAGTCGATGCTCAACGTTTTGATGATAAGCAAAACGACATGTCGTTAAGTGAAGTTTTTATATTTTTTTATTCTCGATTTTTGTTATAATTTGTGATTTCCCCTTGGTTATTTAAAAATAGCTTTTTGGGTGTCATTATATTATTGGTTAATCTTTAGAAAATTCTTATTGGTTGACAAAATCGCATGTTTTCATTCATGGCCAATTTACCACTAAGTTGACCAAGTGATTTAACGATTTTATCTGATTCCATTCCCATAGTCATTGGTAACTTTTTTTTTTTTTAAATGACTAGGGGTGTCTGCGTTAGTTTGGGTATATCTCAAATATTCTCTAGAGTATATTGAACATCCTATAAACTCAATATTTTAAGGTAAGTTACAAATGTGGTAGGTGACTTCAAAGTAGTTCAAACCTAAAAAGTCAATGAAGGGAGCAAACTTTCTTGACCGTTAACCCAACCCCTTGGGATTGTTATTAGTAACTTGATCGATCCCATAGATGTATCGTGAAAATCCTTCGAGTGAATTGTGGAACCCTCCGATCGGGAGACTTCCAAGCCTATTTTATCAAACTCCTTTTTATACAAAACATCCACAAAACTCTATGTATCAACCAAAATTCTAACCACATTACTATTTCCCACCAATAAAATAACCACTGATGCATCGTCATGTGGTTGCCTAATGATTTCTGCATCATTTTCGGAAAATCCCACCTAGTATCTCAATAGTCAAATAATAAAGAGTATTTTCGTCTTTATAGTTAAATAGTAATGGATTTTCCTAACAGAATATAATGGTAGATGGGAAAGTGTCGTTTTGTTTTGAAACTTGACCAAAGAGAAAGTGTCGTTTCGCCAAACCTTTGGTGGGAAATTGTCTTCTACCCAAAAAATTAATTAATCTTATATAAAATTTGGAATTAGTTTTTAAAAACCCAATTAACCCCCTGTTAGGTAAGCTATGGTGTATGGAGTATGGACATGGCTAAGAGGTGTTTAGGAATTGGTTGGCGATGTAAATGAAGGATAATTGTTGTGATGGGTGTGGTGCTTAATAGTGAGATGAGATGGGAGTTGGTTTTTGTTCAAAAAGCTCTCAAAATATATGATGGAATTTCACCTGTCATATACACCCACGCATCTTTTCGTTTCTTTTTGTACAAAAAGATGATTCCTTGAAGTTTCTTGGTGATAATTTCACCTGTCATATACACCCACTCATTACAGTTTCACTTTCCATGGATCGAAAACCGGTTAACAGGTATCTTAAACTAAATTGGATTTCGGTTTTAAAAAAAAATTGAACCGAAACCGGTCCAATTTCAGTTATAAACCAGTTTAAAACCGAACCAAAAATTCGGTTCGGTTAAACCGGTTAATTATGATAGGCTGCATTTGTTCGGGCCAATTCGGTCAAACCCTCCATTTTTGCCCTTTTTTTTTCTAGGTTTTCTTTTAACTTGAATTAAAGTTATATTTATTGTAATTGAATAATTTGAATTCATATAATTTTAATGTACATAAAGTATTAATAATTTAAAATTACATTAGTGAAGACCTAGGGATAAATTTTTAAAAAACGCAAAAAATATAAAATTATTTTTTAAATTGAATTTTGGAAAATGCGCATTAGTGAAGACCTAGGGATAAATTTTTTAAATTTTGAAAAATGTAAAATTATTTTTTCATTCATTAAACCGGTTTAAAAATCCAGTTTAGTTAACCATTTTTGTTATTTCAAAAAACCGAAACCAAACTGAATATTCGGTTTACAAAATATGGTAAACCGAAACCCAAAAAAAATCGAATTTTTCGACCGGTTTTTCGGTTCGATCCGATTTTCGGGTTTTTTTTTACCACCCCTAATTTCAAGTAATTGGGAAAGCCTTTATTTCACAAAATCTTTTAAGACAAATAAGTCCTTTTCAAATCCAAGATATAAGGAATATGATAGGGTTAAAACATCAAATGACTTGATAATTCTAAATCCATCACTGATAATGGGTTTTATTTTTTTAACCCTGCCCCAATCCATTGGGCTTTTTGGCCCAATCAATTAATGTTTGATATTTAATTATTTATAACTTCCCATCAACAATGATAGTGAAGTTGTAATATAAAATTAGAAAAATTATAATTAATAATAATTTTAGTAGTCAAGTTTTATAGAATCTAATGTTGTAGCATCTTCATCTTCAAAATTTCTTGTATTGTAATATGTCCATACCCATTTTATAAATATATAAATTTTTTTATTATTATTAAATTATTCAATAATTTAATAGTTTTATCAATATTTTATGAAGTACGTTTGTCCTCGTATTTGATCCTATTTTGACATCAGAAGTCTTATTTTAATAATTTAACTTATTTTTTTATATTAATAAATAATTTTTTCTCTATTTGTATGATAACAAATAAAATATCTAAGTTGGGCATATAATCACTACTAGCCCTTTCGGCAAAACCACTTTCCAGCAGCTCTTCATGAAAATAGATTCCAAAAAATAATAATAAAATAAATAAATAAATAGTATTTACTTTTAAAATTTTAGAATTTTGTTTCTTTTTTTGGTCTTGTTTTTAGTCAGTTTTATTCTTTACTTTATAAAGGGCAAACCATATCTTAAAAGTAATAATTAGAAAATGAAATTTCATTATAAAAATACATAACTTGAAGTATTGGATGATGCTAAATAATTAATTAATTAATTAAAAAGCTGATAAAAGTCTTTTTCAAAACTATTACATTACATCTTCATCCTGTAAAACCCAAGAAAATTGTCCCCTTTTATTCTTTTAACATAGAAAATCTTTTACCCCTCCTGAGGTTCTTAAGTTTTAATTATCCCATTTAGTTTTAAAAGTAGCACTTACACCCCTATGATTTAGTTTATCGGATTTCATGGGTCAATGGTCAATAGTTGTTGTCAAAACTCTACACCAAAAAATCAACCATTAAAATTAAGCTTTACGTACTTCGAAGAATAAATTTATGATTTATTGAATAGTGTAATTTAAGAATAATACATAAGAAAAACTTGCTTATTATATGGTACAATTTCGATATTATTTTTGGAATTTATTAATTAAGGCAAAATATTTCCAATTATTCAATTTTAAGGACATTTAATGATGAATTGCCATTTACACTTAACGACAATGAGAATATCCCTCAACTATGGTTTTGAAGAATACGATAATATAATTACTTTTAAAAAGAAGAAAACAAATCACACAATGAATTAAAATTTTGAAATTGTCTGGCTTCTTGTTTTTCATATTTATATTAGTTTTATTTAATTTTTTTTGTTGTCCTGATTCTAATTTTGCCTATAATAAACATTCTGACAAGTAAATTTCATTTCATCTCCCTTTTTATAAAAATACATATATTTCTTATGAAATTAATGCTATTTAACCTTCACGTTTTTTTTAAACCCCACTTATAAATAAATCCCATAAAAAGCTTGAAATCTTTAAATATACCGGATTTCATTCCAATTTAAAATTCAAAATAAATTTATACTTAAAAGTATGTATTTAATAATATTTATATGAAATTCTTTCACAACTCATGATGATTAAAAAGAGCAAAACAATTAAAAAAAAATTTATAACTCAAATTTGTGAGTGCAATATCATGTTTAAATAATATTATAATTTTAGAAAAAGTCATTAAAATGAGGTCTCTTAAGAAATTTGGTGGGGCCAAAACATCAAAACAAACATTAGGGTCTATATAAAATTTACCACATCTCATTCTATCCAATCAAGCATCGAGTAATAGTACATTATTTTATTTATAAAAATTATTTTTATTTTTGTTGTTTTTCCTGGTCGTTATAATTATATAAAGATCCGTAACTGTAATATTTCCGACAGAACACAAGTTTTTCTCGCTACACACTCTCCACCATTTTTGCTTTCAAACATAACTGTAAATCTTCCAGTTCTTCTTCTCAGGTTAGTGTTTCTACGGTTGCTTCATTTTCTTTCTGTTTCTGATGCTTTTGACAGATTTTGATTTATTCCACTCGTCCCTTTAATTTATTTTTGGTCAACGGATTGAAACCTCATGTGAATGCAATGAGTTTTTCTTCAAGTTCGAGTTGTTTTTGAGATTTTCTCATGAATTCCTCAAATGGGTCGAAAATGAATCCGAGTTTGAAGCTCTTAACGGCTTTGTACATTTTGCATGTACGTGTGCTTGTTCATGCATGCATTCATGTGTGTTTTGTTGATAAGAAATGAGTGAGGTTTGTGGTATTAGTTCTGTGAAAGTTTTCATTTTGTTTTTGATTTTCTTGGTTTTGAAGTGGTAGTGATTTTTTGTCTTTGTTTTGTTTTATTGGCATCCGTGGAATGTTGAGTTCAGTTTTGTTGAACAATTGTATTGAAATTGACCCCATTTCATGTATGTGTGTTTGGTTTATGAGAAATGAGTGAGTATTGTGATATTAGTGCTGTGAAAGTGTGGAATTTTGATTTTATTTTTTTTCGGTTTGAAGTGGTGATGATTTGTGTAGAGTTTTTTTAAGTTCATTTTTTAACAAGTGGATTGGAGTTGACCTCATTATAATGTAATCAAGGATGGTTAAGTTGAGTTTCATGGAATTCGGAGAATATGAGGGAAGGGGAGGTTTTGATCTCAATACCTTTTTATTGTTTGATTTAGTAGGATTTACGAGTTAATGTTCTGGTTATTGGACTACTCTACAGCAGAAGATTAGATCTTTGGAATTTTTAGATTTTCTTGGTTTTGAAGTGGTGTTGATCTTTTGTTTTCGTTTTATTGGCATATGTTGAATGTTGAGTTCAGTTTTGTTGAACAACTATATTGAAATTGACCCCATTTTATGTATGTGTGTTTGGTTGATGAAAAATGAGTGAGTTTTGTGACATTAGTGCTATGAAATGAAAGTGTGGAATTTTTATTTTTGTTTAAATTTTTTTTGGGTTTGAAGAGGTGATGATTTGTGTACATTTTTTGTTTCGTTTGCATCTGTAGAGTTTTCAGTTCAGTTTTATTGAAAAATTGTGTTGGAATTGACCCCGTTTAATGTAATTGAGGATGGTTAAGTTGAGTTTCATGGAATTCGGAGGATTTGAGGGAAGGGGAGGTTTTGATCGGAGTGCTTTTTATTGTTTGATTTGGTAGAGACTTCGGAATCGAAACTTTGAATGTCTATAGGATGTAAGAGTTAATGTTCTTCTTATTGGACTACTCTGCTGCAGAAGTTTAGATCTTTGTGTAAAGTGCTGGTTTCTTGTTTGCGAAGTCGGGATTCAGTTAGTTATATTCTGTTTTTGTACTTCTGATTTATCTTTATTTGTTTAACAGGACATATGTTTGAGGAAAAGATTGTGGAAAATGGCTTTTATGGAGGAGAGAGAGCAATCAGATTCATCATTTGATAAGGTAATTACTTTAGCATAGAAAAACCATATTTCTTTGCTCTTTATTTCTAATGAAAGAGAGATAAGATCTTCTCAATCGCTTTATCAAGTATGCTGTATGTCCAATTTCCTGTTCTGTGTCTGCATTCAGGTCAACCCAGCGAAACTTCCATCTCTTACCTGGAAGAGAAAACTAAATAGTGATGATATCACCCTTTCGTCGTTTTCAATGACTTGGAAGGAGATAATTCACCTGGTATGTTGTTGAGATATTAGAAGCTTTTAATGATGGAGATTATAGTATGTATTGCTTAATTAGAACTCATGATCCACATGCTTTGTTTTCTCTCTTTGCACCATGCACAAATGAATTAGTCACAAGCTGGCTTTTCAATATTATTGATTAATGCAGACAGTTGGGAACTTAAGTCAATTGATAAGATATAAATAATGACAAATCTTTGTCTCCCTTACTTAGTTCTTAATGTCTTCAATACTGTTTGTTTTGTTTGGATAGGCCCCCATAGGTATTCGGATTCTGCAGCATATTCGAGAAGAGTATGCCAAAGGAAGGGTAACTTTCTTATATCTTTAAAGTAGACTTTACCATGTGTATCACTGCTTTGAAGAATCTTATCTGATCATAATTTCTAAACCTTTTTGTGGCATGTGCTTTTTTACGATTTATATGCAGCGGGTTTTCCTCAATCCATTTATTAAGCGCTTACTAACATCTTCTCAAGGCATTCCCCTTGGTGGAATTGGGTAATTTTTTCTCCTCAAATCTCCTCCATTTACAGTTTTTATAAGGGCATTTCATAGCATAAGAAATCAACTATTTATGTTAGGTTATTAAGTAGATAATTATAATGAATATCCTATTATAATGAATATCCTTTCTGCATCTCTATATCATATCTTTTACCACATTGCATAGCATTAGAACATAATTCTTTATTTTATTTTAGGTAGTTACATTACATGTATATTTTCATTGTTGAATAATTGCAGCATGGTTACTGTATACCTATATATTATACTTAGAGCTATAAATTATAAATCAAACGATATTATTTTTACTTGTAATGTTAGTTCTTAGCTTTATAACTGCAACATGCTGTGTGTAAAATAACATAAAGTGATTTCAGAGCTGTAGCTTGTTTGTTTTGTATCAGTTGTTGAACTTATCTTGTTTATTTTGTTCCTCCTCTAATATTCCTTTTCTTTCTTTTTCTGTTTTGAGAAATGAAACAAACTTTCAGTGGAGGCAGCATTGGAACTAGTTACAGAGGTGGATTTCAGCGCTTTCAAATGTTCCCTCGAATTTGTGAAGATAAACAGATTCCAGCAAATCAATTTTCTGTAAGTCTGTAGCAAGAGAATGAAGATGAAAACTTAGTCATTGGCTTATAAAAGTTGTTTTCAAAATTTCACTTACTTGTAAGTGTCAGCCACTGATAAAGTTCCCACGAGACTCTGGACGGCCTTAATTGGATTCTTGAAGTTTCTTTTCACTTCCTCCTTATTTTATCCCTCCTTTCATGGCCTATATTCTGACTCACAACTTTACCTTATTGTTTCCTTGCATGAAAGTTACTGAATTTGGGTGGACAACCCTCACTTTTTAGGCACAATTCTTTTGTTGATGGCTTGTTGTGAAATAATCTTATACTTTTTTACCATGAATGCGAACACCACTTGCAGGTTTTTGTTTCACGCTCAAATGGTGAAAAACATTCTACTGTACTGTGCGAAAGGACCTCAGAGGTGCTCAAGTAAGCCAGCATTTCACTGCCTAGTTTTTTTTGTTCTCAATAAAATAATTTTTTTTTTTTTTTTAATATTCCAGGGGACAGTTTTTTCTCCATGCAACAATTTGACAGAAAAGAAGCTATATGAAAAAAAAAAAAAAAAAGACTAAACTGATGTCATGTGCATGAACAGGGATACAACAACGGCTTCGGGGATTGGATCTTGGGACTGGAATCTGAAGGGGAATAATTCGACATATCACGCTTTGTATCCAAGGGCTTGGACTGTATATGAGGGTAATCTAACATTGAGAAATAGATATTTCTGAATTGTTAAGGCCATCATGACATTGAAAGTTGAAACCATCCTATTATCTGTAAATGCAGGTGAACCTGACCCTGAACTTACAATTGTTTCTCGCCAAATTTCTCCTATTATACCCCATAATTACAAAGAGAGCAGCTTCCCTGTATCAGTTTTTACCTTCACGGTAGTAGTACTCTGTTAAAATTTTGTTTGTTGGACATATGATACAGATTTCCTTAGTAACCTGTTGATTCTGCATTTATTCAGCTAAATAATTCCGGAAAGACTTCTGCAGACGTCACCTTGCTTTTCACATGGACAGTAAGTCTTTTGTTTGGTGTATTCATCCCTTGATCAATTTTATGTTGCATCTCTATTGTGAGACTTGTCTTTGCATGTGCAAGTGAGATTATATTATATGGATTTTCGGCAAGAGTTTGACTTGTATTTGTATGCAGAATTCTGTTGGAGGAGCTTCCGAATTTACAGGTCAACACTACAACTCAAAAATAAAGTATGAATCTTTAACTTTATTTCTCTAAGATTTTCAAACTACATATATGTGCTGTGTCATGCCTATGGTTTATATGAACTGACAAGATCATCGATCCTGATAGGATGGAGGATGGCGTGCGTGGAGTCGTTCTACATCACACGTAAGGCTCTTTTCCTTGATATAAACAGAAAAAAGAATTCAAGACTTAGTTTGATAAATCTTAGTCGCTATGTATTCTTGTTTCCTTTAAATAACATATGTTATCTACAAATACAGGAGTGCAGATGGCCACTCCCCATTAACTTTCGCAATTGCAGCACAAGAGACTGATGATGTCCATGTCTCAGAGTGCCTTTGTTTTGTGATATCTGGAAACTCCCAGGGTTTAACAGCAAAAGATATGTGGCATGAAATAAAAGAGGTAGGGAGACTTATTCCTATAATTTACAAGTGCATCATAGTGGAAGAATTTTGCTGATAACTGATATCCTTATCGAATAACATATATTCTTCTATTGTAATAGCATGGATCCTTCGATCGCCTTAATTCTACTGAAACATCAAAGCCTTCAGAACAGGGATCATCTATTGGGGCAGCTATTGCAGCTTCTGTGAAAGTCCCACCGGGTGCAGTGCGCACTGTTACATTTTCATTGGCATGGGATTGCCCAGAAGTGAAATTTTTTAGTGGAAAGACATATTATCGGTAAGTTAGTGGATATTCTTGAAAAATATCAAAATTTAATATTATCCACCTTCTGACAAGTCTTTATCTGCAGGCGTTACACGAAATTCTATGGTACTTATGGAGATGCAGCTGCAAGTATAGCCCATGATGCTATTCTTGGTAATGTTTCAATTTACATTTTGCCAATTAGCAGTTTCTTCTTACTTTTAAGTATGCTAGGAAGCGAGATTGCATATCATGTAACACATTAGTTCTAAGTTTGCTGTCATGCTCCCATTTTGGTACTTAGCAGGCACACAAAAACATTTTCAATTGTTAAGAACCTTTAACTCATTTTTCTTAAACATAGAGCATGGAAATTGGGAATCACAGATAGAAGCATGGCAAAGACCTATTCTTGAAGACAAGAGGCTTCCTGAATGGTAAGCTAGGATGTGTTATTTGTCTTTTATCATACTATAAGATTCTAAAGTTTTTTCTGAATGTTCTTTGCAGGTACCCTATCACTTTATTTAATGAGCTCTATTACCTAAATTCAGGGGGCACCATTTGGACCGGTATTTGGAGTCTACTATATTGCATGTTGGCTCATCTTAATGAATATGTATTCACTGTACATTTTTTCTTTTTGCAGATGGCTCACCTCCTGTTCATAGTTTAATGCACATTGGTGATAGGAAGTTTTCCCTAGATAGGTCACAATCAGATTTGAAGAAAAATGTTGACGTACCCAATCATAATGATACTGCCGTAAACATTCTTGAGAAGATGACTTCAATTTTTGAGCAATTACACACTCCAGTCGCACTCAGTTCTGCTTTCGGAACAAATTTACTTGAAGAAGGTGAAGAAAACATTGGCCAATTCCTTTATCTTGAAGGAATTGAATATCCCATGTGGAACACCTATGATGTTCACTTCTACTCATCTTTTTCATTAGTCATGCTATTTCCTAAACTTCAACTCAGTGTCCAAAGAGACTTTGCAGCAGCAGTAATGATGCATGATCCCAGTAAGATGAAACTTATACATGATGGACAGTGGGTCCTCAGAAAAGTTCTTGGAGCTGTTCCCCATGATATTGGAATTGATGACCCCTGGTTTGAAGTAAATGGCTACTGTCTTTATGACACGTGTCGATGGAAAGACTTGAATCCAAAATTTGTTCTCCAAGTTTACCGGGATGTGGTTGCCACAGGGGACAAGAAGTTTGCACAAGCTGTTTGGCCCTCAATTTATGTTGCGATGGCATATATGGACCAATTTGATAGGGATGGTGATGGGATGGTTGAGAATGATGGCTTCCCAGATCAGACATACGATACATGGTCTGTCTCTGGTGTGAGTGCATACAGTGGAGGCCTATGGGTGGCAGCATTGCAGGCTGCGTCAGCATTGGCACATGAAGTTGGTGACAAGGGTTCTGAGGATTATTTCTGGTGCAAATTTCAAAAAGCGAAAGTTGTATATGAGAAATTGTGGAATGGTTCTTACTTCAATTATGACAATAGTGGTAGCCGCTCAAGTTCATCTATTCAAGCTGATCAATTGGCTGGACAATGGTATGTTGCAACTGATATAACTTTTATTCATTGATATTTAATTATCAAATACTCCGAAAACTTATGAAAATTTTTTAAACGTCAATATAAAAAGTAATTGATCTGATTGCATTTTCACTGAAGATTTATGACCATTTCCTTATAGCTACTTAATACAATTATGTGGTGTATATATATGTGTCTCTGTTGTAGGTATGCCCGAGCATGTGGTCTTTCACCGATTGTTGATGAAGACAAAGCGAGAAGTGCATTAGAAAAGGTTTTTAACTATAATGTCTTGAAGATTATGGATGGAAAGCGGGGGGCGGTTAATGGGATGCTACCTGATGGAACAGTTGACATGACAACATTGCAGTCAAGAGAAATATGGTCCGGTGTCACATATGCTGTTGCTGCAACGATGATCCATGAAGATTTGGTCGATATGGGATTTCAAACTGCCAGTGGAATCTATGAAGCAACATGGTCTGAAAATGGACTTGGGTAAGATCCCCTTTATCTTATAAAAACATTGTTACCTTTTGAAATTGAAAGCATGTTTGTTGATTAAAATTTATTATTTACCTAAGTCTGTGGATGTGCTGTTGAACCATCAGTAGAAGAAATAATTATCAGCTCTAGTACTATTTAAACTTCTGCATAGTTTACATTAATAATTATCAGCTCTAGTACTATTTATTCCAAAACCACTGACAAACGGCTATTTTGTTCATAGCTATTCTTTCCAAACTCCAGAAGCTTGGACCACCGATGGTGGATTCAGAGCGCTATGTTACATGCGTCCATTGGCCATATGGGCAATGCAATGGGCTCTAACAAGGCCAAAACCTTCTAACAATGAGATGAAACCAGAAGTAAATGAAGAATCTTTGTATAGGTATCATGCCGGATTCTGTAAAGTTGCTCGCCTTCTAAAGGTACCAGATGAGAAAGTGCGTAAAAGTCTTTTACAATCACTCTTTGATTACACTTGCAAGAGGATGTTTTCATAATCGATTGGTTCCTGTAACTTATTACTGTCATCCATTTTTGTGTACAATAAGAAAATTCATCACAGAAAGAAAAGAAATATTGGGGCATACTATAATGCGCTAACTATATGAAATTTTTATGTAAATTATATTGTTCTACCATTAGTTTTCCAATTCTTGTGACTCTTTTCAAAATTTACCTTTAGTGAATATCATTGTTTCCTTTGCAATTGTCATAATAGAAATTCCTTAATGGAACAAATGTATGTACGACTGTTTAATCACTCTCTTAACATACATCTTAACATGAGTTGATAATATGAGTATTTTCATGATTTTCACCACATTAGTTAATATATAAATTTACTATATGAAGCAGTATGTTCTGTAAATGGAACTGAATAACATCCCTTTTATATTGTAAAAGGATACTATCTTTTATTTTAGTTAATAGGTTTTTAAATAAGCTATGAGTCGTAGTTTTTCATATCTAAATCAGTTTCAAACCTGTTTAGATTTAATTGCGGCATTTGTTTTGTAAATTAATTAAAATTTGTTGGACAGAACTCTGGCAATTATAATGTCTAATAGATTATATTTTTTATTATTATTTTTCTCCTTAGGTGAGAGAGGGTAAGAAGAGTACCAGAGGCTCTTTGGTTAGGGGTTATCTCTCATTACTCTAGTAATGTCATCTTATAATACCGACATTACTGTGTTTGGTTGTTAAGTAATATAAGATTCTAATAATCCTCCAATACCAAAGTAATTATTGTTGGTTATATAGATGATAATCTGAATATCACCATTTTCTTAGGTATTCTAAGATTCCTTGATAATCTTATTTTTGTTACAGTTTTACCTCTTATTAATAAAATTTTAGGACAGTAATGCCCTTGTTATCTAAACAATTTATAAGAATTTTCTTGGATAATTTTAGCCTTATATACAAGATTTTTAAGACATTATTACCTTTGTACTTCAATCAAATTACCCAAGACCACAGTCAGAATTGGCCACCACCAGTCGTCAGCCATCACCATTGGCAGTCGCCAATCCACCGGCCATGCGCCGATCTAGCTGTTTTTGGCCAAATCCATCGTTGTTAATGACGGCCAGATCTATTTGGCCATTAACGACAGTCAAAGATCTAACCGTTGTTAATGCCACAACCGGCCGTGGTGGTCGGTGGTTGGCTGTGGTGGTCGGTGGCTGGCTGTGACTTTGGTGATGGGGGTGATTTTGTTAAATTTTAAATTTTATTGTGACTATGATGTTTTAGCAAAATCTCAAATATAAGAGGTTAAAATAAATAATAATAACAACAACAATATTATTATTAAAAAAAAAAAAAGACAATTCAGTAGTCTATATAATGTACCTACAAATTTATTATTCTTAATCACATATCAATAAAACATACTCACCAATTTATTTCAATCTAATCAAACACTTTTAATATAACATTCTCAGTAATTTTAAGGTAATTTATCTCCTCATTAATATAACATTCTCAGTATTACAACATTTGTTGAACCAAACACATCCTAAACCAAACACACGTTGATAGATAACAAAGGCATTGCAAGAACACATATAAGATATCTTCAAAATCATTATCAATTGATTCCTAATTCATTAGTGAGGATTTTTTAAATCCTATAATATTTATCCAAAAAAAAAAAAAGGGTTAAAGCAACAATCGATACTTGACGAATGAACCAAATACTGTAAAACATCTCTATAGTGATACTCTATATAGGAATAAACTCTACATAGTCATAAAAAATTATAGTCCCAATTTGAGATAGTTATAAATAAGAATAAACTTTACATTGTAATAAGTTATAATTTTTTTAATTCCCACCTTAAAGAAAGTCGACTTTACAATGTAATAATTATCTGTATATTACAAAAATATATATTTTATGTTACATTAAATGTTTAAGATGAAATAAAATATTTATCTAATATTGTTTGAGATAATGATTTATGTTTTAGAGTTGTTACCACATCTTTTAATTTGTGAGTACGTAATAACTTGTTAGCATGAACATCTTCTTGTTAAAGTCAAGATATTTTTAGGCTTCGTTTGGTTCACTTTTTTACACTTTTTAGAAAAGTTTTGTGAAAAAAGTTAAAAAAAGTTGAATTGGGCAGGTATTACAATGTAGAATTTGGAAATTAATAAAATACCCCCTATATTTATTTATTTACTAAACACCCTTATAATAAAACATTAAAAGTTAACAAAAACACTCCCAACCCACCCAAAAAATCTGACAGCCTGCCACCACTGCCGGAGGATGGCCGCATCGACTCATGACCGACTGGATCTTGCAGGTCGTGCATCTGGCCATTAACGGCCAGATCTGGCCGCATTTGCTTGTCAACGACGGCTAACATATGGTCGTTGTTGATGGTCAACGACGACCATATGTTGGCCGTTGTTGACGACTAGCTACGGCCAAAGATCTGCCTTTTTCGGCTAGATCCAACGTGGATCTGGTCGAAAAAGGCTAGATCGGTGCACTACCGGCCAAATTCAGCAGGTAGTGCGTCGTTTTATCAGATTTCGGCCATCTTCCGGCAGTGGTGGCCGGAATCTGGTAAATGTGGTTGTTGGGGTATTTTTGCAATTTCTAAAAAAGATATTTAGGGGTATTTAATTAAATTAACAAATTTAAGGGGTTTAAAAAAAGTTGAATAATATTGTGAGTTTTTGCAATTTTACTGTTTAACTTTATTGGGAATACTAATAGTAGTATTCCCAAAAGGGAACCAAAGAGAGCCTTAACTTCTCAAGCATGTTTAGAGTTTCATAGCACAAATTTTTTTGTATTTCCATACTATCATTCTTAAAATTATTTCCTTTCTCTTCTTATTAAATTGTAGCAATGATTTTTTCTTTAGTTAAAACATACATGATTTGTTACTCATTTGGATGATCGAGGAAGACATTAATATCCATTCGATTAGTGCAATGAAGTTGTCAAATCTAATCACTCAATTCTGCAATGACTTTTTTGTTCTCCTCATCCACTTCATTTGTAACTTGCAATTCATCGACATCGGAGATCCTAATTTTGCAGTGCTTAAAATCATTGACAATGGTATGTGGCTTCACATACAATTGTCCATGCATCAACTACATTTATAATTCCATCAATGACACTTATTTTTGCTAGTTCTAAGACACGATCTTCTATTCGTTTCAAAAGTAAACAATTAAAGCGCCGAATTGAAATCTTAATACTACTAAAATATAAATTGAAATCCTAATATTGTAATACTAAAACATGAATTATAAAATAAGAAATCAAAACAATAATTTTTGTAACTACACCTCCATTAAGTTATAACTTCCTTATAGTAATAAAATTAGTTCATCTCACCATTATGACTATAATAAGGTTTTACTGTACTATCTTTCAATTAAATGTAAATTTAACCCTCAAATATTATGTAAATTTTCATTTTTAACTTCTACGCCGTTGATTAAAATTTTAAAGGGGTGTTAAGTGATAATTTTCAAAATTGTGAGGTTAGAATAGAATTAAACTAAACCAAGATACTACAAAACTTAAGGGTTATTTATATTTATCAAAACATTCGTCCCTTTAAGTATTTGCAATGGCATTTTGCATTTTCCTTACCTTAAAGAACCTTTAACAAAACCCACAAAAACACCCTCTTCAATTCATGGCTTTGAGAGCCCCATTTCGTTCGTCTTCATTCTCTCAAACCCCATCTCTGAAAGGTAATGTTTCATATTTATTAACTCCCTTGCAGAACCTCACAACTTCAAGCTCCAAAAATGAACTTTTATCTTCTTTCAGAAAAACCCCTCAACAAATCTCACTTGCTAAATTCCTTAAAGAAAATTGTCGATCAGGTAACTTTACTCTGAATGATGCTCTCTAATTTTTTGATAACATGATTAATTTGTTACCAATTTCTCCAATTTCATCATTCGTCATATTGTTTGGTGCACTTGCTAAGAAGAAGCATTATTATGAAGTGATTTCGCTATATAAGAGGTTGAATTCAATTGGGTTGTCTCCAAATTATATGTGTTTGAAAATTTTGATGAATTGCTTGTGCAATATTAAAAGGGTTTCTGATGGTTTTGCGGTTTTGGGGAAAATTTTGAAAAAGGGTTTTAGCCCAGATACTGTGACTCTTACGTGTTTGATTAAAGGTCTGTGTATAGAGAAAAAGATTATGGAGTCAAGAGAGTTGTTTAAGAAAATGGTTGCTGTTGGTTGTAGGCCTGATGTGATCAATTGCAACACTTTGATGGATTGTGTAAAACAGGGAAGATAAGTGTTGCCCTTAAGTTGCATGAAGAGATGGTTAATGGGAATAAAGCATCTGGTCTTATTTTTCGGCCAAATGTTGTTACCTATAATACTATAATTAATGGTCTTTGTAAGGACGGATTAATTGAGAAGGCTAGATGATTGTGTTTGGAAATGAAGGGTTCGGGAATTAGTCCAAACGCAGTCACTTATAACACTCTAATTCATGGTTTGTGTTGTGTGGGTGATTGGGAGAAGGGTAAAAGTTTATTTATATTGATGATGGATCAAGGTCTGTAGCCTTGTGTGGTGACTTTTACTATGGTCATAGATGAACTTTGCGAGAAAGGGAAATTGGACGAAGCAAATAGGTTGTTGGAATTGATGATTTAAAGAGGTGTGGATCCCGACGTTTATATTTACACCATTTTAATGAATGGTTATTGATTGGCAGATAGAATTGGTGATGCAAGGTCGTTGTTTGATTCTATAACTATAAAGGGATATAGACCTAATGTTGTTTGCTACAATACTTTAATCAATTGGTATTGCAAGAATAAAGAAGTCAAAGAAGCTCTTAGTCTTTATCGGAAGATGATTTCAAAAGGAATTAGGCCTGATGTGATTACATATAACACCTTGTTAACTGGTATTTTTGGAAAAGCCAAGATAAAATATGCATGGAAATTAGTTGATGAGATGCAACTTAATGGTGTTGTGCCTAATTCTTTGACACATAGCATTTTCCTTGATGGACTTTGCAAGAATGGATGTATTTTGGAAGCAGTGGCAATGTTTAATACTCTAGTAAATAATAAGTCTGCATTTAGCCTTGAAAGCTTGAATTCCCTCATTGATGGATTATGTAAAACAGGGAGATTCGAAATTGCTTGGGAGCAATTTAAAAAATTCTCTCTTCGTGAAAACCTACTGCTAGACGTTGAAACATATAGCATCTTGATCAATGGGCTTTGTAAAAATGAACAACTAGAAAAGGCAAATGAGTTGTTGTCACATATGGAGGAAAAAGGTTGTGCTCCAAATGTATTCACATTTACTACGCTCATGTTTGGTTTCCTCAAGAATAATGAGATACCAAATGGTGCGTTTGGTTCATTATTTTGGATAGGATTTTAGGGATAGTTTTTGATAGTTGGATAGGATTATAATTACGAGAATATGATTTGCAGAATATGTGTTTGGTAGAGTATTTTGCCCTTGATATTTGTGTTGAATATTTGATTAATATATTTTTTTATAAATAATTTATTAATATAATATAAGTGAACAGGTGACGTGAAGAAGAAGTGAAAGAAGAAAGTAGAAAAAGTGGAAGAAGAAAAGTGGAAGAAGCAGTGAAAGAAGAAAAGTCAACTCACAAATAACTTTAGGCCTGCAACTATCTTCAAACGGTCATAAAAGGGTCAGGAAGTGTCGGAATAATATTCTCAAGATTCTATTACACAAATATTCAACCAAAAGTTATCTCCAAAATCGGGCTGAAAATATGAATAAAAATATCCAACCAAACACAGCCAAAAGTTCTTGAACTCCTTCATAAGATGGCGGAGAGAAATGTGAAGCCGACTGAATGTACAGTGTCCTTAGTTATGCAGTTACTGCTGAAGGATGGAAATTATTGTGAATATTTGAACCAACTTCCTCAATTTCCAATCCAAAAGCCACTTTGAAGTTTTCATGAAAAAAAAATTATACAGAGCTGTGTCCTTATCAGGAGACCTTTATTTGACAGCATTTGAATATAAAACTGCAAAAGTTCATTCAGCTTTTCAAATGCTCCGTTTTGGTTATGATAAGAAAAAGGTTTAGTATAAACCTTTTTGTCTGTTTGAAATATTTTGCTCATGATGTCTTCTGGCCCGGTGAATTCTTGGTGGAACTGCTTCAGCAATTTATTGGCCTGGACTGATTGTAGACTCTGAAAAATCGGTAAGGTTGTTGAGCTATTAAAAGTTTTACTGCAAAACTTCATTCATGCAGTCCGCTGTAGTTAAAAAATATGCTAATAATTTTTAGAAGTTCTGGTGTTGTTGTTCTTTACCATTTTGAAGAAAGGGAAAAAGTGAGAAATAGTATATGGCGTTCGCCATGGTTACTAAAGAATGATTTGTGGTTCCAGTGTTGTGACACTTTTCAAAATTTACCATTGATGGATACAATCGTTTGCAAATTTAACGTTTGTGGAAGCACATTATGCAGGTTCTGGAATCTGGGAGCAATGGCCTTGTTCTTACTATCATCACTGGGCTGTTTGGAATCAGTTTCAATGGAATTCCAGGAGCAGAGAATGCAGTATACGCATGTATTAGAAATTTGCTTGTAGAAATTAGAAGCCACCTGTTTATTTAAACCCACACATTTTTCTTTTTCTTTTTTTTCAAAAAAAAATTGATTTTCAATGGGATGTATACCGCCGTCTAATCACTTGATATGTGCATATCACAAATTATAATGTGCACCATATGCACAGCCTAGTGCTCATTTATCCCTCCTAATTCCGGTTTAAAAAAAAAAAAAAAAAAAACTATAATAAATTAATATGTAGTACTATAATAGTTGTTGATGCAAGATTTACACCAATCAGAGTGATTCAATTGATCTTGGTGGAATCAAAGCCGATGTATGTTGGATTAAAGATAATTAGCAATTATATATAAAAAATGTGTAAATGTAAAGAACATAATCATTTTTAAAGTGGTTCAGCAAGTTAAAATTTAAGCTTACGGTCATTTGTTTTTCTTATTGCTTTAAACTTTAAAGAGCATACAAGAATAAGAATAAAATGCTTAGAACAATTTGCTAGTCCTTCTCTCATCGTTGGAGAGAGTTTATATACAAGTTTGTAAACAAAGAAAGAGAGAAATTATCGGGATTGCAATCACATTTGAATTACAATTCTGAGATTCTTGTGATTGCGCGCTAAGATCGCACTGTCACTGTTGTTGATCTAATCTCTTCTGAAATATCCGGGATCTGAACTTATCTGTGATTTGTCGAACAATTGTCAGATTTGGTCACGACTAGCTTATGCTGGGTTGAGCTATAGCTCGACGAGCTTGTACTGGGTCGAACAAGTGTTGAGCTGAACTGATTTTGGGTTGAACTATATCCTTGTGGGACTCTAACTTCTCCGAGCTTATGGAAAAATTACACATAACAATAGTAAATATATGATGCAAAACTAGTAAGTAAAATAAAATTATTTTATAATTATTCAACATTATAATTGGTTTGATAATCTGACATGTTAATATCATATGAAAAATTTACATTCTTTGCAACTTTTGATGCGTATGGGAATGAAAATATAAGTTAAAGGGTACTAATTGATAGATTTTCGAAACTTCAGAGTTTGACATATGGAAGAGTTTGTAATTTTGAAAAACTTGAGGGACAGACTGAGTTTGTCAACTGGTTCAAATCAATAAAATCTAGCGTTGTTTAGGCATGGCAACGGGTGAGGCGAGGGTCGGGACCCTTTCCCAGCCCCATCCCCGCCCTATTAATTCTACATTAACATCAATTTTACATCCCAAGTTAATTTATTACTTTTGTAACCCGTTTTAACTTATGATATATGTAGTATTCAGTCTCAGATATTGATGTATTGTGTAATTAAGTTATATATATATAACGGACAGGGGAAGGGCGCTTCCCCTCTTCGAGGACGGGAATTAGAACTGTCTATCCCTATTTCCCATAAATACCGGGGAATCCCCGCCCCGTACGGAGCAGGTCAGGACCATTGCCATGCCTAGAGTTGTTAGAATGGTTGGCCCTTCAAATCATAATGTAACACCATTCACATAAATTCTAAAAAGTAAAAAACAATATCTAACATCACCAGCCCTCCGAAAAGCAGTAAACGGCATAGACTATCTTCATCACCCCAGCAGCCACCATGTGATTCTCAGTCACCGCCATGCAAAATCAATATCACGTTTTTTTTTTTTTTTTTTTTTAACTAATTTCTTGGTCTTGCTTCTTTTAAATCAGATTTTAACTTAAATATTTTGTTCAGATTTGTTGTTACATTAAACATTAAATTTTAAAATATAAAAAAAAAAACTTAAATAAATTAATCAAATAGTCCCTAAGTGTTCTCTTAAATTTATGGGTAAACACTAAAAATGTTTTACTATCATGTTTGCTACTTTGTATTTCTACTGATAGCTTTTCATTTTGCTTGCAATTTACTTGTCTAGTTTAATATAATTCTTATGGGAATTGAAGAATATTTTCTGGAAACTAAATGGCTTCATTATCTCTGCTTTCTTTCTTTTTTCGATTATATATTTGCTTGATTTTCATACACGTATTATATGAATTGCATTTAAATGATTAAGGAACGCAATGCTCTTTTCAATAATTCAATCTATTTCCATTTAATTTTAATAAATCAGGTCTACATACCCAGAACCCAACCCGGACTGGAGTATCAAACTTCGGGTCTACACTAGGTCCGGGTCCATTCTTCACACATCCAGGCCAGGTCTGGACCCAGACAAAAACCGGCCTGGGTTTCGACATCCCTAAACTGATCCATATACATACATAAATCAAGATATTTCCTCTCCAACTTTAAATTTCACAAGGGATTCATTCATTCAAAGTTTCAATAAACATCATCAAATCTTTTAAGTGCTCCTTTAATTTTAGAGTAATGCTAGATCCACAACTCAATCTCACAACTCCTAATGTAACAATTCATTATTGGTTAATTCACAAATAGATAAACAAGACGCATACAAGCAGGCAAGACCCATTTTCCGAAATTTATCCACATTCATTGTTTTCAGAAAGTATTACAAACCCGTCCAGATTATTAAAAAAAAAAAAAAAACCTTTTAAATAAGAAGATATGTAATACTTTCTGAAGATAGTGGGTATCAATAAAATTAAACCATCACTTAGAGAGTTGGATAATAACCCTTTAGAGTTTGGTCATGGAGTGTCAAAAATGACATGCCAATAAAGGCAGAAATTGATTGTCCTAAATGAATTTTTATTAGAATGAAAGACTAGTGTCACCAATTTCAGTTCAGGGCATTCAACCATTAATTTCCTTCCATTAATTGAAAGGTGAGCATCGCCGACACAGCAAACTCTCCAAACAATTCTTTTCAAACAGATTAAAATGGAGATACCATTTCTGTAAGAAACATAAGAAAATACTAAGATTCTAATGATGAAAACAAAAATACCAAGGAGTCAACTTCCTCCCTACTTGGCTTGAGGGTGAGAAGCAATAAAATCAACGGCCAGGTTGATGCTACTGATCTTGTCTGCTTCGTTATCTGGGATCTCGAATCCAAATTCTTCTTCGAGTGCCATCACGACCTCCACAGTATCCAAACTGTCTAATCCAAGATCGTTCTGGAAATGGGCACTTGGTGTAACCTGCAAAAGAGAAACACCAGAATCCACTATGATTTCTCAAACAAGCGGCATGTACAATTCATGGAAGAGAAAACAGCTGTTTCATAAGGAAGTTCAAGGCTTTTCTGGCCAAGGAGAAAAAGAAACGGAAAAGTATCATGAGCACCACATGTCAAAACCCCGAAGTACGTGACCAGAAACCAAAAGAGTTATAATCGAACAAACAAAGGGAATAAGACAGTGGACATTAAGCCCTCTATTTGGCGGGCCACAATTCATCAAGCATACTTTCTCATAATCAAACTGGACAACCATATTGGAGCCCACTGTTAACAAAATTTGAAGAAATTAGTTCAATACAAAACAAATCATGAAGCAAATTTTCGTATTACATATAACAAACAGTGATATCCACATACTAAAAATAACATAAGATGGATATGAAGCATTAAAATTAAAAATGTTGTATGTCACATCCATTGAATAATTGATGCTATATGCTATCATATTGGGGTATAATCATTAACATTAGTAAAACATGAAGGCATGAAACTAAAATACTCCTCACCAAATTCATTCAGCAATAATTTTCAAGATCTTCTAATCATAAATGGTTCCAAATTTTGAACTTCAAAATCAAACACACCAACGATATGAAACAATAGCTTTCAGGGCAGTTACATTTTTTATTCCAAACATCAAAAGCACCACTTAAGTTGGGAATCAAGTCAATTAACATGACACGGAAGCAATTGACAAGTGCTTGCACTAAAACATACAAGCTAGAGCCACCTATGCAAGCAAATGAGCATCGATGATTAGAAAACATACATCCATGTGTTGCAAATGAGCAACTCAAGGAATTGTAAGCTTATTGATCAAGGATATTGGGAAATATGGTTTAAACTATGTTACAGACCTGCTTGCAGACTCACTTGGTCCAGATGACTACTGATTGTAGGTTTAGCAAAGCTTATAACAATTGATTGAGCTGAAGACATTATGAATATGCATCATCCCTTCCATGGAACTGTTACAAAATACTCGAAAGACTCCTAATGTCACAAAAGATCTAAAACAAATAAAATTTGATATAAAACTTCAGCGTTTAATGGAATATGCAAAAAAGATTTCAACGCTCAACATTATCTGCTATTATTCCAGTCAGACAAGAAATTATGCATTTATGTATTCTTCATGACAAACTGGGTGCATTTTCCTTTCACAGGATTCAGGTTTCACAGAGGCTTCCTCCCAGAGCTGACAACCTGTCTAATGTAAAACTTTAAATTAATGTTAGATAGCATGTCTTTTGTCCCTCCCTTGCAAATAATATGATTCTTTGGCAACAAAAGAGGGCAGCTTCCCCAAGAGTCAAGCGATTTCCCTACCTACCCAACCATTTCCATATGTTCGGTCAACTGAATAAACTTCTATGCTTATAATAAAACAACCAAAGATCTTATTTCTCCAAACCAAAACCAAACGATCTGTTTCACACTCTCCACTTACACATAATAGCAAATTCAGTTCTGACAGTACAAGAGGGTTTATGAAAACAACCATAGAGTAATGAAACATCAAAAGAAAATAAACAATGAGGTTCAGAAGGTCATGCAAGCCTCAGGTGATTATCTTTCTTCTCTACCAAAGAGGCACTGGGATACTCACAAGGAAGTTGCAACCTCAAACCCCATCAATATCCTTAACAAGGTTTTAAAAGCATTAAAAGTACAACATGCTCCCAGGATTTTGAGAAGTGGAGTGTCCACATCATGTCTTAACACAGTGAATTACTTGAAAAATTGATCTAAGCTACCTCAATGAGTCAGCATTTTAAAATCATTTCCATCAAAATAATTGAATCAATTAAGAAAAAACATTATCCCTCACATACTATTTTTTTTCTAAAATACAAATTACAAGTATTCAAGCTCTAATTTCTCATCCTCTATTTACCAGCCACAGAAAAGGGTCACAATAAGAACGTTTAAAGTACAACAAGCTTAAAAAAATCAACATATTTTCTTGAAAGAAAGAAATTTATTACAAAAGATTCAAACTTTTTCTCTCAAATATCCTAGTAACAGAACACTAAACTCCACAAAATCAAAATTCACCTAACAATTTAAGTCTTAAGTGACCAAACCAACCACCCCATTAGTTCTAAACTCGGAACAAGTGAACTGCAGAAGAAGCAAAAGCTCAAAATCACCTTAATAGCATCAATATTGCAGTTCATATCCTTTCATTTTCTCAGTACAAATACAAAAACATTACTGGTATGCTAAATATGGATAACATTAACAGAACCAAATCGTGCTAACATAAGTTCAAAAGAATGCTATTCTCACAACAATACACAGATTAAAAATCCAGCAAATCCTGTGACATAACAGCACCCCCACAAAACAAACAACACGTGTATGGCATAAAGAAACATAACCACACACTCAACACAAAAATGTCGATATCGAAAACCTTCCAACTAACAAAAATTTCACCTTTGAAGTATCAATTTCCCGACTTCATAAGCAAATGCAATTAAACAGCAGTAATCGTATTTCAAAAAATCTACATTTTACCTTGTAACTAATCCAATAATGCTACCACTCTGCTTATAAATAATAAATATTGAAATCTTGACAGTAAAAAAATTCACTTAGAAGTATCAATTTCGAAAACTTTATAAGCAATAGTACTACCATTTGAAAATCTACATTTTACCTTTTAAGTAATCCAACAATGCTACCACTTCACTTGGAAGTATCAATTTCACAACTTGATAAGCAAATTCTATTTTTTTTTAATAATTTTTTTTTTATTTATTTTTGTTACCTTGGAAGGATCAACTTTCTGGAAGTTTTTAACAACGGAGAGGACGCGATCGGTGACTTCGGATTTGTCTAAGAAGGTGCCTCGGACCTCCTCGGAGAAACGGCGGCGTATGGCATTGAAGGAGAGGGAGAAGAGGTTGGTGGCGGTGGTGCTAGGGTTTCCAGGTACTGTGTTTACGTTCACTCTCAGGTACTTCAGCAAGGCACCTCTCGCCGCCATTTCGATTCTTGTTAAGACGAAGAAGAACCTTCTCGTGCTCTGTTTGAGAAACAGGGGTTTAGGCTTTTACGCTAGCTCCCACGAGCGACTGAGAGAGATGGATGATATACAGTTTGTATGAAGCCAAAACGACGTCACCTTATACTGTTGGTACTTGGTTTTGGGAATTTCTTGGGGGACATAGTAAAAATCTTAAAGATTGGGGAGTTAAAATACTTAACCATAATTTTTAACTCGTTACAGTTTGGTTATATAATAACGAAACTTTCAATTTACTCCCCAAACTTGGTTATCTTCGTTTGAATTCCAATTGTGCAAAGGATATCTACTAAAATTTGGGATTTTAGTAACTCCTATATTTATTTTTGATAATAATTTACGGTAATACTATGATACAAGTAGATAAATGATTGACTTCAAGGGTTTAATTACTTTTCCTTCTTTTTTAAAAAANCTTAATTCAGGGTTTATTTCCACCTAATAATTCATTAATAATCTCTTAAACATCTGCGGTCTGCCATCTAATTGCATCAAGAATGGTTTTTACATTGATAAAATTAAACAATCATAAAGGGCATGAATTCACTTCGCTACACAAATGATAAATAATAAATGGTTCCAAATTTTTAGTGATGAAGCACCAGCAGCCCCACCAGATGCCAAGTTCCCAGCAAACCATTTCCAGTAGCCATCTCAGTCTTTCTTGAAGTTAAACAGTCTCTTGAAGTAATCCTTGAACGCAAAGTTCAGGGCCTGGGTGGGGAAGTATTTGATAACATTAGCTGTGTTTCCTCTCCAAAGAGAAATGACACCGTCATCCTTCCTAATTCTGGCAAAGCAATCAGAAATTCCCTTGTATGGTTCAGACAGTCTACCAGCCTTAATCACTTCATCCTGATTCTGAATCAAAAGCTTAACACGCTCAATGGGAGCAGCTGCGGTCTTGGAAACAGCAGTAGAAACTCCTCCCATAAGAAAATTCACCAGAAAACCATAGGCACCTTTCTCTGATGGAGCTTGTAAAGTTGTGAACGTATGGGAGAAAGAGATGCAAGTGCCAAGCCATTGCCCTGTCTTGCTGGCTGCAAAGAATTCTGCAAACCTCCATCAACATAACCAGTCTTATTATAATTACGGGTGTGCAAATTGGGGGACAGCTTGGAAATGAAGTAGGACTATCCTTGAATTTTCAAAAATACCGAAGGATGGTGTGATCCATCTGCCATGCTGGATAAGCCAATGAATGATGGGGAAGTCCAACGTCAGAGAGGTTGGTTTGGTCGGTAGCTCTTTGAAATGGACCTTCCAATGAATGAAGCAAAGAATATGAATTCAGGAGTGGAAGAATAAAATAGGAAGTTGTTGTTTTAAAAAAGTGCCAGGCAGGTTGAGTTGGCAATGAATATTAAAATTCCTCTGGCAAATGAAATTACTCTATTGTGTTCTATATGACAAAAATAATAATAATAATGGGTGCGTTTGGTTTAGTATTTTGGATAGGATTTTAAGGGTAGTATTGGGTTATTGGATATGGGAGTATTACGAGGTAAATTTTAAAAATTTATAAAAAAGCCCTTAGGTTTACTAATTTAACTAAAGACCCTAACATGTAAAATGACAAAAACACCCCCACCACTGCAGTGTCAGATTCCGGCCACCACCGCCGGAATCTGACCGGAAAATTTCGTTACGGCACAGACTTGTCGGATCTGTGCCGTAACACATCGTTATGGCCTTTTCCGGCTAGATCCATGGTAGATCTGGCCGGAAAAGGCCAGATCTATGGTTTGTTTTGGCCGTCGACGGCCGGAAAAGGCCAAACGACGGCCATCTTTGGCCGTCAGCGACGGCCAAAGATGTGGCCGTCGTTTTCGATCGACGACGGCCAAGATTTGGCCGTCGTTGACCGTCAACGACGGCCATTTCTTTGGCCGTCGCTGACGGCCAGATCTGGCCTTTTCCGGCCAGATCCGTTGTGGATCTGGCCGGAAAAGGCCACAGCGGTGAACTTCCGGCCATTTCTGGTCGGAAGTTTGGCCGTTGTACAGATTCCGGCTATCACCGACGGTGGTTGCCGGAATCTGACAAGTTGGGTTGATGGGGGTGTTTTTGTTAATTTTAAACTTTTTTTTCAGGGGGTATTTAGTGAAATTAATAACCTTATGGGGTTAAAATGTAATTAAAAAAAATAGGGTAATATTTTGAGAATATTGTACCAAACGCGATTTGAAAAATAGGATCCAGAATAGGGATAAAAATATTAAACCAAACGCATACAATAATTCTACCCAAGGGCACTTTATCATTTAGAAGCTGTATTTATCCCACATTACTCAATTGTGGATTGTTATGATGTATATATGTGTGTTGGACTCCCTCCTCTCTAGAGCTAACTTTTGAAGGTGAGTTCTACCCAAGTTTAAGCTTCAACCACAAGTGGTAAGCCACTTCCAGAAAAAGGTCCTCCAGATGACAATGGAGGCATGTGATCGAGCACTTATTCTAGACTCCCGATTCAGCGAAGAAGAAAATCCTCGATTTCGGAGTAGATTTTGTACCCTTTTTACCCTTCTGTCTGTTAGCTCAATTTCATTAATGCATTATCTGGGCAGCTTCCAAACGAGCTTGGCATGCTTCCTGAGTAGTATTGTATGCATAAAGTTTGTCCCCTTCTTAACTTCTAATTATTCATCTAAATGGGTTCTGCTTTGTACTTGCATTGCAATTTTATAACTGAAGAACTAAATTCTAGGACTGCAGAGGATTGGAACAAACAACTTCTCCGGTACTGTGCCCTCTGAGCTTGGTAAATTGTCAAAATCAGAGCAACTATATATGGGAACAAACAGCTTCTCTGGCCCTCTGTCATCTGAACTTGGTGATTTGTAAAATTAATGCTTTATAGCCTTGTGTTTTGGGTTGCATCATCATGATGATAGCACCAGTGAACATTTTATTATTGCCAGTCTCATAAAACTAAGGTACTGTATATGTTAATTGTGAATTCTAAAGTCCTTGGAAGACATGATATAATTCCGACAGTTAAAATGAGTCAAGTTTCTCACCTTTAAAAGATATTACATGGGTAAAAATTGATGTGCATGCCAATACTTTTTTTTTTTTTTTACCTTGTGATCCAATCATTCATATCATTGAAGAATTGTCCAAATTGAACTGGTGGACTTCAAATTATCAAAATTCAATGAGAAAAAGGTAAAACGCCTGATAGGTGTAGCTCTTTTGTGTACTCAAACATTGCACTCATCAAGGCCATCGATGTCTCGTGTAGTTGCTATGCTTTGTGGAGATACTGAAGTCAGTGCAGTAACTTCGAAGCCTGGATACTTGACAGCTGTTTGGAAATTTGATGAAGTGACAACCTTTGTTCGTGATGATACGACTAAAGAAAGTTGTGATAATACTAGCCATTACATCTCATTAGCAAGTTTAAGTACAGTGGATAAAACCCCCCCAATACGTGGTACTAAAGCCGTGCTCCATTGATTGGGAGAGCCTCAAATTTTAATGTGGTTATTGATTATAAATTACAGCATGCATATCCTTCTTTTACGTTGGGCTTTTTTATGAAACATCTTCATTTCTTTAATTTCTAAATACACTCATACTTTATTATTGTTATTATATATATTTTTTAATTTTTACATAAATGATATATTCCTGTGGATCCAGTCTGCATTTTGTTACCTGTGTTGGTTGACTGGGTGTTGTGTTTCATCTTGAGAAGTTCTTGGCCTTGCCTTTTGGGTTGTAGGATTCTCCACTGGTGTTGGTCTGCTGCTAGTAATTACAGCCGGAAGACTTTTTATTTATTTTTCTTTGCCCTGGTATTGAGTGCATTCGGGCTCAGAATGTGTTACATTGGATGACTGGGACTGGTGGCAACAGACTAAGGATGTTAGCTTCTTCTTGTTATCACATTACAATGTTCTTGGATGTCATCATAAAGATGATTGCTGGTCCTCCTTCCTCTTGTGTTTTAGGTACAGCCCAACAAGCATTGGCAAGTCCCAATTTACTTTGCCTCTTATTTTGGGTTTCATTGCTGGGATTGGGCTTGGGAAGTTTTGTTAGTGTTGGTGAACACTAGATCTAAGGTTAGGCACCCATTCTAAAGCACAAACAACAAAAACCAAATCAACAATAATGAACTGAAAATGTAAAACACTCAAGCATAAACATGGTTTAGCTAAAACCTTATTTACCCTACATCTATGGGACCTTGTCCAGATTGAAGCAAATTCACTAGTAAACAAACATTACAAGAAAATGATCAAAGTAGATTTTAGTTACAGCAAAGAGAACACCCTGTTCTAATTATACTAAATACCACGCTCTGATTCTTTAATGTCTTGTTACTTTGGGAACTTCTTCACACCGGGATTACACCCAAAGATCACTTGAGCTCCACCCAAGCTTAACCAACCGAAGCCACACTCCAACATCAATGACTGAACCACGTTCCTGTAGTCATCAAAAGGAATGAGTGAAAAAGAGATTTGGTGCAATAAGTACTCTTGGTGAACCTTTGAGGAAAAGAAAATTCTCTGAAAGTTTCAGAACTCAAAAACGCAAAAGCAGAATGTCACAAAGGTTAGAGAGAAATAGCAAGAAAAAGTTTCTTGCCCAACAATTCTTGCCATAGACAAAGAGCTTGCCCATGTTTGTCCAAATAAAAAAAGAATCCTTCTTTTTGTTTGGACCACAACCAAATTGGGAAAAAGCAAACTTTTTCCCTAGGACCACAATGGGATCTTACAACACCTGTAGGTGATCCTAAAACCTGCATAATAAGTGTGAAATAAATATCTAGGTAGATCGTACACAAATACAACTTTCGCCAAGTTGTAAATATCTGAAAGAAGTATGCACCACAGAAAAGTTAGGCACACACTCAACACGAAATAAATCAAACTCATAAGTTTGACAACCTGTGTACACATACACCTGCTGTGAACACAGACAATCATAAGTTTGGCAAAATATTCTACAAGTTGATGGAGCAAGGGGTGACAGAATCGGATATAAGGCTACGGAGCTGTCAATTAGTTGTATAGATTGTACAATTCACTTATCATTGGCGGGCTAAGGCCTGTTCTTTTGTTGTTTTTTGATCTAGGCCTGGGCTGTATAGGTTTTGCTTAGCCTGGTTAGGCTGGGCTTCTTTTATTTTGTTGAGCTCTTGGGCCTGTCCAAGTTGCTCACTTAGTTTGTATGGGTTTTTTTGTCCCCCCGGCTGTTCCGATTATTCTTTCTTCTTTTATAAAATTTTTAGAATTATCCAAAAAAAAAAAACAAAAAAACTCTAACCCTAAATTTTCATAACCTTATTCTAAATTTTCATAATCATTAAAACATTTTGTTTTACTTTAAATATTTGGTTATTTGATGAAAATATAATACTAAAACTACAAAACATAGAAGAATAAATGATGGCTCCCAATCAATCAATATATATAGAAGAATAAATGATGGCTCCCAATCAATCAATATATATATATATTACACTCTAAATGATCAATTTGAGGGTTGATAGCTTGTATAAAAATTATTTTTTGCATGCTTTGAAATAATGCTTATATATTTAATGAAAATAAAATCACAATAGCAGATTTAATTAAAACAAATTTTGTTTATGCTTATATCCTTCAAGATTTAAACAAAAATCACTATTACAAAATTTGTCGCAATAAAATTGTACCATTATATCTATAGTGACAAAACTAATAGTCTCTGAGCATATTATATAGTAAATATATTGTAGTGTATGTCTCTTTTAACCTTTCATTGGTCTTCGTATTACAATAAATTTTTAGAAGCAAAATATTGTGATAAATAAAATAATTCTCTCCGGAAATTTTATAATAGTTTGAAGCATCTTTAAACTTTTAGTCTAATACTACTCCATCTGAAGGTATATAAAAAAAGTATACATACTAAATGATGTACCATCTTATATAGCATTGTCATATCATCACTGCAGGGCGTAACCAAAAAATTTATTCTGGGGCGGTCAAAATATGAAAATAGGAGCCACATTGCGATAGAAAGTTACTTTCATAGGGTTTAAACGTTAAAAAAGTAAAATACTAAATTTATAGGAACTAAATAAAAATTTCCATGACTTAAAATTTTTTGCAATAATATTTTGTGCACTAACTATTTTGTCCTAATCCAAGTACTAACATTGAAAATTTGAAATTCCCTTAAAAGAAAAAATTTAAATTTTCAATATTAATACTTGGATTAGTACAAATTGATTAGTACATATAGCATTAATCAAAATTTTGCGGGGCTCGAGGTATCCAAGCTTGGCCGGCCATGGGGTTGTTAAATTTTGGAAGAATATGTCAAACGTTGAATCACATGGTTTGGTTATAGAATTAATTGTGTCTTTATCAAGTTGTTATTTAATTCTAAAGAAGGAAACTGTGGCCTAACTATGAAACTAATAAAGAAATATCATGGCCGCCCAAGCTCGTATGTAACTCCGTGATTTCATTGATGTCACATATAATAACTAATTGTATGTGATCATGGTCATGACCATGACCTAACAAGTAGCTGCCATTTGGATGCATGGATTGGATTGTGTTGCGTATTAAAACGAAATATTTCTTTATTAGTTTGGCCACAGTTTCCTTCTTTAGAATTAAATAACAACTTGATAAAGACAATTAATTCTATAACCAAACCATGTGATTCAACGTTTGACATATTCTTCCAAAATTTAACAATATATATATATATATATATATAACTAGTATTTTATATAAGAGTCTATAACTTTATTTATGTATCACTTATTATAACTTAATTGTATGGTTAGAGCATTTCTGCTAAAAATAACATCAAAACTATCCAAATATATTTGTATGTTGACTAGTGAAGTCTCAACAGGGACAAAGACCAAGTCTTATTAGAGCTATTAATTAAGTTGTAATTACACATCTATTATTCTTGAAGAAACAGTATTAAACAAGAGTAATATTGGTTTATACATGTAATGATAATGTTGATGAAATCAGCCGCTTCAGTTTCAGCAATTGTTTGCTTGTATGTCAGTTGCATTTTCTTGGACCTTCTCGTACTTGATGTAGCTCAAACTCAAGCTCAAGCCACTACAGCTCCTAATGAAGGTCTGCTTCTTTTTATTATTTTAATTCCGAAAGATTCAGACTCTGTAACTCACTTCATTCTTCTCATTTTTTGAGTTACTTCTCTTCTGATAACAGTGGCAGCATTGAAGGCAATATTTGATAAATGGCAGGTATCTCAGAACGAAGTCGATGGAATAAAAGTGGAGACCCATGTAGTAAAGAAGTCACTGACGGCGAGGGTTTCTACACTCTCATCAACTGTAATTGTTCTTACAACAACGGCACTCTTTGCCACATTGTCGAGATGTAAGTTACTAGAAAAAGATAAAATTTTGCGAACTCGATATTTTTGGCGTTACAAGTTTCTTTCTTTAGCGTACACAAAAGGACCTTTCTTTAATTTCATGGCTGCTAGCTTACTTTTACATTTTCTTACATTACAGGACGATTTCCGATCTGGAACTTGATGGTGTGATCCCAGAGGAACTATGGAGTTTGAAATTCCTCACCTCCCTGTATGGTTTTGTATATTTCATATATGCTTATTTCAATTGTGTATAATTTTAGACCATTGCATGAGAGTGAGGATGAGTGGTTATTAAAATATTTTACTGTATCAACATCATAAAATGATTTGAGCTTTGTGTTCTTAATCTTAGTTGTCCTGTTTTTAATAGGGAAGTGAATAAAAACCGCTTGTCAGGTTCACTTTCTCCATCCATCGGCAATCTAACTGCATTAAAATTCCTGTAAGCAGCTGATATAAAATTTTAATTTTGAAACTCATACTATTTTCCTTCTTTTTATGCTAATTAGTTTTCATTTTGATCAGTGATTTTCGCGATACTAAATTATCTGGGCAGCTTCCAAAAGAGCTTGGGATGCTTTCTGAATTAGAATACCTGTAAGCTCAAACTCTGTCCCCTTCTTAACTATATAACTTCTGATAATTTACTGTACGAACTCTTTTTTTTTTTTGTAATTGCATTACAATTATATAACTGAAGAGCTAACTTCTTGGGGATGTAGAAATATTAGAACAAACAACTTCTCTGGTCCTCTGCCACATGAACTCGGTAATTTGGCGAAATTAAAGACATTGTAAGTTTTTGTAGACTTTTCGGTTTCATTTTCAATGCAGCATTTTTCTTTTATTGAGCATATCCTACTCTATAATATTCTAATATTCTGTACAAGGATGCAAAGGGTGAAAACCCCAGCTGGCAATCGTAGCTTTAACATAAACCAAATTCTCAATTACTTCACACAAGATTATACTATCATGTGTCACATAATTCGTTTACTTGGTGATGGCTTTTATTGTCAAGATACTGAATTTATGATGGAATTTATAAATATTCTTTGCCTTGGCAGATGTATGGACAATTCTGGAGTAAGTGGTGAGATTCCGTCAAGTTTTGCTAATCTAAAGAACCTAGAGTTACTGTAAGGACCTCTTGATTATGTTAATCCTCAAATTGAAAATTTTCGAATCTTAAATTCAACAGAAGATTTTTCACCTTAAAGGGAAGAATGTGACGTAAATCCATTGCTAATTTAAAAATGGCTGGCATCAGGTCTTAAATAAACTCTTTTTATTGTGATCAGGTGGGCTTTTGACATTGAACTTACAGGAAGGATCCCTGACTTCATAGGAAACTGGTCAAATATGAAAGAATTGTGAGAACACTATTGTAATTTACTTTTTCTCTCTCTGTTTTTTGCTAAATCACTCTTAAGTTACTTTAGTTATTTTAGGTTAAAGCTTTTTAAATGAGAATTTCATTTTTTTTCTTGTTATAAATTATATTGTAGGAGGTTTCAAGGGAACTCTTTTGAAGGGCCAATACCATCATCCTTTTCCAAGCTGACGAATCTAACGGATTTGTGAGTGTTCACCAGAAATATTTCATTGATCATGTTTTACTATTGCAATAATCAATGCTAACAATCTTGATGCCATGAAAAATAAAAAATGTAGGAGAATAAGCGATTTATCAAATGGGAGCTCATCGTTGTTGGCATTTGTAAGGCAACATTGTCCAAGTTGTAATATCATATGTTGAATTATGTCACATATGTCTTTTGTGTTTTTCTTCCTCTTCTTTTTTTTGTTCATGACTGTTGGTTCCCTATGATGTAGAGTACTAAAGAATAACAAAATTTCTGATTCAATTCCATCTCTCATTAGTGACAACCAGAAATTGAAACATATGTAAGTTATTTATTCCCTTTTTCTATTTTAACCTTTTTTTTTTTTTTAACCTCAATTACTTTTTGGTTGTTAGAAAGTTTCTTGGTCTTGTAATTGTAAATTATAATAATTTTTCTTCAGAGATCTAAGTTTCAACAACATAAGTGGACAGATTCCTATCTCGCTTTTCAGTTTGAGCTCGCTGGAGTATCTGTAACTTACCAATTCTAATTTGTTGTGGCTTTTACTTCCCATAGTTTACTCATTATAGTGAAACATGAGTTGCTTTTGTACTCAGGTTTCTTGGAAATAATCAGTTAAATGGTACCCTCCCTGTAAAGAAAAGTCCAGAACTTCTCAATATGTAAGTACTTCTGACATATTTGCATCAACTCATTATAGCATTCCCAAAATAGAATGCTCAACTAATTGTACCAACTGAAAAGGTGTAGTTACAGGTCGAGTTTTTCCTGGAAACCTAGTTTTTAGCCAAAGTCACTCTAGCAAAAGGCTAAACTTGCATTCTTAATCTAGACTTTCAAGTGCATAGCTTCTCCTGGATTAATGTAAATTACTTAGATTTGTGGGGTTCCTGGGAAAAAAATTGGGAAGTTGAGTAAAAACAGTGTGATCTGAATAATGCCTGAATTTTATACTTGTAAGCAGCTGCATTGTGTAGTTAACATTCTCCTCACCTAATGTTGCTAGAGATGTATCTTACAATAATCTATCTGGCAACCTGCCTTCTTGGATTCAACAACAAAATTTACAACTGTACGTACGTCCTTAACTTTTTTGAACATATAATTTATTTAACATCTTTTCTATACATTTCACATTTTCTTAGGTAAATGTATACTTTCCAGTTTAGTATTTACACAATGATGAAACTAACATTCACAATGCTATTGGTGCAATGTGCAGTAACTTAGTGGCCAACAACTTCAACCTAGAAAGTTCTAACAGCAGGTAATTCTCTTATTCTGTGTTTTGTTAAAATGCTTGAGACTCTCTATATTGAAAATGGATAATAATGGATAACTTATGGAAATTGGTTCTTTAGTAGCTAGTTCCCGCTGTCTAACATGATTTCCATGTTCCTCCCCTTTGTTCAGTTTTCTCCAGCATAGGCTGAACTGTCTCCAACGCAATTTTCCTTGCAATCGAGGTGTTGGAATTTGTAAGTACAACTTCTCCATTTCGTGGTTTCAAGAGTTTAGGGTTACAATTTAGGTAAAGTAACGCCTATTTCAACACCCATCCTAGATTTAAATAATCTATTAAAAACACTTCTTTTAGCCATTCATCAACCCACAACATACATAACAAACATGTGATCTTCGTCCACACCAATATTTATTAAATACATCAATTCATACAACTTCAAAGGATTATATATTTTCATAATATCTCTATGCTCATGGCTTTGAATAGGGTCCAACTAAATAGATATTATCCTTTGGATTTAATCATTTGGATGTAGGCTTGCATGCGTTTGCTTTTGGGCTTCACACAACCGTCAAACACCCAAAATGCATCTACTTAGTTATAAGGACCTAAGCCTTATAAATTTAATACTAAACTCATTTGCTAGCAACGTGGGATTAACAAACTCTTTACCTTATGGTCCTCACATCCTCCTGAGGTCGTCAATTACATTGTTGAGTCGCGAACCGACTTTGATATCAATTGTCAGTCTGAAATCTAGCTAATTAAATATTGTCTAGCTCTAGTAAATTCTTGTGTGACTCTCTATTTTAACCCAACCCAATTTTTCTACTATTTCTCTTTTTCTTTCCTTCTCCTCATTCTCTTCTTTTCCTTATTTTCTTCTCACCTATCGCTAACTCTTTATAAGAATGAGAGAAAGCTTATTTGATGAAATATGAATGCCATGATTGTGGCTAATCACTAAGATTACACCAATCACCCAAAATCACTCACTCAATCAATCAATTCCTTGATAGTGTAATTACATTATTGTGATTGGCAATCACCCAAAATCACTCAATCAATCAATCAATTCCCTGACTGAGTGTAATTACATTATTTTGTTTCCTTACTGTATAGCTAAACTTTTGTATAAATAGGTGATGTATTCACAATTCAAAATAATTTAATACAATACAATTGAATTCATCTAAAGATAACTCTTGGGCCCACTCTGACTTTCTTCAAATTGGCTCTTTGCCCTCTGAATTCTGACATGGTATCAAAGCATATATCTCTTAGGCATATACTTTGGCTCTCTTCAATTGTCTCTCTTGCCCTCTTAATTTTGACATGGTATCAGACCTTCCAGGTTGAATCAGTTTCCACTCAGCTAGCCTCTCTTTTTTGTCCCTACAATTCAAATAGATACTCAGTTAGCACAATACGCAGCTGGCCCCTCTTTTTGTCCCTACAATTCAAACAAATACTTGGTTAGATTTTCAAATGGTAAACAACCAAAGCTCAAACTCTGACATAATCACCAACATTTGCATTTTTTTATGCAAGCTTCTGGTTTATGACCACAAGCTTGAGGGGGATGAAATATGAATACCATGATTGTGGCTAATCACTAAGATTACGCTAATAACCCAAAATCACTCAATCAATCAATCTCCTGATTGAGTGTAGTTACATTATTTTGTTTCCTTATTAATTTTATCGCTAAACTTTTGTATAAATAGGTGATGTATTCACAATTCAAAATAATTCAATACAGTACAATTGAATTCATATCTAAAGATATCTCTCGAGACTATTCTAGCTTTCTTCAAATTGCTTCTCTTGCCCTCTCAATTTTGACATTATCTTCTTCTCTTTTCCTTTCTATTTGGCTAAGATATAAGGCACCAAGATTTTTCATTTTCTTTGCAATTAAACCCCTCCTATATATTACCTATCTTCATTATTTCCTTAGTCATCCTTACTCAATTTTTAATTCACTCCTAACAAAGATATTTTATTTATTTGTTAATATACCATTCTAATACCCTTTTTCTCATTGTTGAAAAAGAAAAATGATTAATATAAAATATATAATCACAACTAATTAAATAAAAGTAAAATAATAAGTGGCTAGATATTATAAATCAAACTTTTAGACATACATATTCTTAATGTTTTACCTTGATAAGAGGTTACCTTGCAGATTCGAACTTTGCAATTAATTGTGCCGGTCCAACAATTACATCTCACGGTATTGTGTATGAGAGTGACAATGAGCCTCTTGGTCCAGGTACATACTATTTGATAGACACAAATAGATGGGGAGTTAGTAATGTTGGAGACAACAATGATTTACAGTATAAGATTAATTCTACTACTCAAGAGTCGAGCCTTTTCCGAAGTGCTCGAATCTCTGCTTCATCTTTAAGATACTATGGTTTAGGCCTTCGAAATGGAAAGTACATTGTGACTCTCCGGTTTGCAGAATTAGCTGATTTCACTACCGAATGGGGGAGGCGTGTTTTCAATATATATCTTCAGGTATGTATTACATATTTAGATTATTTTAGCCAAACTCGCCTCACCTATATATCACATAGGTTTATGTTGAGGTTAAAGCATGATGAATGACCTTAAATGTAATACGTTTCCCAATATCTTTCCTTTCAATTGTTATTGGTTTTTGTTTCAACATTTAAATATGTTTATTCCAGGAAAATCTTGTTGAAAAAGACTTTGACATAACAAGGGTAGCAGGTGGAGTCCTTGAAAGAGCGGTTCAAAGAGAATACACGGTTCAGGTATCTAAAAACTACATGGAAATCCACTTCTTTTGGGCTGGGAAAGGGGGAGATGGACCTTTAATTTCTGCCATCAGGGCTATTGCAGGTTAATGAAATAGTAACTTCTATTTTTCTCCTTTTTCCTCTTTTGTTGATTTCCTTGCATTAGAGTATATATTGAGTTAACTACTGAGCATGATACAGATTTTGAAGTAAGCCCTCCAAGTGGACCAAGTCAAACCACTGAGAAGAATAGAACAGGCCTAATTGTGGGGATTGTTGCTGTTGTTGGGGTTGTATTTTTGTTACTTGCAATTTTCTTCGTTGTCCGAAGAAGAAAAAAGCCACAAATTGTTGATGATGGTAAATCAAAATATCGTTGCTATCACTGACGTCTTATCTATCATATTTACTAGCTATGAAAATACTACTGTTAGTCTACATCTGGTTGTAGTCTTTTATCTAGGTTAGCATCTCGGCCACATGCTGACTTAATCCCTTTAAAATGTTTCAATATAAAGGTGAGTTACATAACTTATCAAGTAAACCATGGCTCATGTACAAGAAAGCTATTGTACATATAAAAGAACAATGTATTTTACTAATGCTTGTTCAATTCATGAAGTAGAGTTCTATTCGTAAGTTCTTAAGTGAATTACAAGATAAGAACTTGGATTCTGGGTTAATTAATAGGAACAGAACTATGCCATCTTTTTTAAATATATGGAACTCTTGGTCATATTAGTTTTTTACCAAATTGCTTACCCTTCAAGCACAAAACTATGTTAAAAAGCCATGATTAGACAATTGCATTTGTTATTTCTAGCATTTCACATATTTGCATAGACAAACAAGTTCCTGATAGTAAGCTACGTTTGTTGTTGAATTTCCAGAGCTTCTCGGCGTGACTATTAGACCATATACTTTTAGTTATGTGGAACTAAAGACAGCTACAGAAGGCTTCAATTTTGCAAATAAGCTTGGAGATGGAGGATATGGATCAGTTTATAAGGTAAGCCATTGTTTTAGTTTCAAATGAGTGTGAGCAATTAGCACATTTATCCTTGAAGATTAACTGTTTTTTCTACTACTAAATACAGGTCTTAGTGTTACTTTTTGTCCTAGATTAACTTGAAAACATAATCTTTTTGGCTTTATATCAATAAATAGTCTGGCCATCTCTGAGTTTTGTTCTCTATGGTTCATTAAATAAAGACATGATGTGGTATTTGGTCAATAATAAGCATATAAAATTGATCAATTGTTAACTGATTTTTCTCACCATTTCAAGCTGAACTTTTTACATAATAGGGAACACTCAGTGATGGAAGAGTAATTGCTGTGAAGCAATTATCTGTAGCATCCCACCAAGGCAAAAGCCAGTTTGTTGCAGAAATTGCTACTATATCTATCGTGCAACATCGTAACCTAGTAAAACTTCATGGATGTTGTTATGAGAGAGCACAACGAATTCTTGTTTATGAATATATGGAAAAAAACAGCCTTGATAAAGCATTATTTGGTATGCAAACAAAATATATGTAGTACTAAGTTTTGCTTTGGAGTCCTAGCATTATTTGTCATGTCAATAACAATTTAAACTTTTGTTGCGAAGGAGGAAAAGGAAGTTTGGACCTTGATTGGGCAACGCGTTATGATATTTGTTTAGGAGTAGCAAGAGGTCTAGCTTATCTTCACGAGGAATCAAGGCTTCGAATTATACATAGAGACGTGAAAGCCAGTAATATTCTGCTTGATAGTAATCTCATACCTAAAATATCAGATTTTGGTTTGGCCAAACTTTATGATGATAAGAAGACTCACATAAGCACTCGTGTTGCAGGGACAATGTAAGACTTTTAATTAACACCTGAAATTTATTAAAATATTATGTTTTTACATTCATTAGATTACTGAAATGAATTTTGCTTCTATTGTATTGATGTAGTGGATATCTTGCACCAGAGTATGCCATGCGTGGATATCTTACAGAGAAGACTGATGTGTTTGCCTTTGGCGTTGTGATTCTAGAGGTTGTTAGTGGGAGGCCAAACTCGGATTCGAGCTTGGAAGAAGAGACGATGTATCTTCTGGATTGGGTATAAATGACATTGTAGTACCATATTTTTACTATTTTCTAATACTTGTTAAACAAATTTGAAATAACCAAACAAGGCCATATATATATATATATATATATATATATACACTCTTCGCTTTTATTTTCTACTTCCCCTCCTGATCCAATCACTCAGATATCACAACTTATATCTTTCTTGCATAATTCCCAGGTTTGGCACCTATACGAGAACAACCGCCAACTCGAGCTAGTGGACTCAAAATTGTCAGAATTCAATGAAGAAGAAGTAAAAAGCCTAATAGGAGTAGCGCTTTTGTGTACTCAGACATTGCCCTCGTCAAGGCCATCAATGTCCCGTGTGATTGCTATGCTTTGTGGAGATATGGAAGTAATTACAGTCAATTCTAAGCCTAGATACTTGACTGAATGGGCATTTGATGATGTGACCACCTTTGATAGTGGTGATATTAATGAAGAATGTGAAGATACCAGCCATTACATCTCCTCAACAAGGTTATGTACAATGGATAAAACTCCAAAAATAAGTGCTAATGAAGCCCCGTTCCCTTGATTGGCTTTTACTTTAGATTCCAGTTTTATTTCAAGTTAGTTCAATACAATTATTATTCATAATGTTAAACTCTAGTAAAAAAACATACGGAATAGATTTTGTACTACTACTTGTTCAAGAAGCACACGGCTGAATCTTCACCAAGAAGTGGAAATTGATTTTGAATTACTTCTTCTTGAACAAGCACAGAGGCTAAAGCTTCACTAGGAGATTGAAATAAAGGACTTCTCCATGACATTATTGGAAAAGGTAGATAACAAATTAATATTTTTCGCTTTATCGAAGTATGAGTTATTGAAGCTTCTTTTATGTATATACTTTGATTTGAAAGGAAAGGTGCCAAACTATTCTATAAGCTTTAACTTAGTAATGTGGGACGCAATTGGGTTGTTACAATCCACTGTGTTTCTGCAACCGACTGCCATGATAGTCCATTCACTCAAATAGATTGCGTCTTTTAAAACAAGTCCAGAATATTAATTAAACATCCACTTAAATTCAATTCACTTTATTTAAAAAAAAAAAAGGTCAAGTTCACCTCCTAAATCAAATTTAAACTTCAAATTTCAAAGGTGTTACATTTTCTACTCACTAATTATTATATAGTCCACTTAAAATGATGTATCGTTGTTGTTGAAGGTGGTCTATGTATAGGGGAACTGAAAGTCAACAAAAATTAATGGAGAAATTAAAATGCAACTCAGTAATAACTGCTACTGCTGTTTGGCTACTGAGAAAATTTGATGTTAGTCAGGGACATAACTCATAATGTTCTTTATAATTAATATATTTATGGGTGTGTTTGATGACATGAAATAAATTTATAATATTTTAACGAGTGTAAAACAAGACCAAAAAAATTTACTAATAAACAAATTATTTAGCCAACAAAAATTAAAACACCTCTAAATTAACCTACAATAAAATTTTTATTAATAAAATATTCAAAGATTTATCTAGCTTTTATAGTAAAATATTATAACTTTTGTTGTAATTTCACTTTTATGTTTTGACCCTTAAAAAAATGCATCAAAACACAAATTATATATATATATATATATATATATATATATGATATGACCCATCTGTAAGTAGTCTAGATGGTTAGAACAAATTGGGAATAGTGTGGATAGGCACGATCTCAAGTTTGATTCTCCATCTGAGCATCTGTAATCTAAGTGAAGGGCCATGTCAGTGGGTGTTAGATATAAAGAGATGTTCAACGATGTCGTTTCTCACTTGAGTTAGTGTAGATGCATATATGGTGTCGTTTGCTTATGTAAGTTGAGTGGTTAAAAGTCAGTCCTTTGTACTCACTATTCAGTTAAGAAAAATCCACAAAGTTTCCAAATTTTCAGCTTAATTCTTCTATGTTTTTCTCTCTCAAGACCTAATCTCACATGGTATTAGAGCACCATTAACTAATGTCGAACATGGCAGAAGATATTGTAACCTCTCCATCTGACAATCTTGAAAATGTCATCCCTAATTCATCTAGCTCACCTATCTCAATGACCTAAACTATCTTTTCAAGCCTTTAGGTCATCAATCCAAAGCTCACCAGAGACAATTACAGGTTCCGGTGCTCACAAATCTTGTTTGCTATAGGAGCTCATGATCTTCAGGAACATCTAACAGGTCTAGTTCCATATCCATCTCCTCTTATTACTTGTAAAATATATAGCTCAAAAAATAGAAATGTTGATCAAATTGATGATTGTTTGGTAACTAAAACAATAAATCCAGCTTACTCTTTATGGAAAAAAACTGACAAGTTCTTAGTTAATTGGTTGCTTGCCTTAATTTTAGAAGAAATGTTTAGGTCTATTTCGAAATGTCAATTTGCCTTAGAAACTGGTTCTCTCTTGAGAAAGAATTTATTACTATTCAAAGGCTAGGGCGTTGCATTTGAAAAACTTACTTTAGAACACAAACAAAGAAAATCTTAGTATCAATGATTACATTAGAAAAATGAAAGGAATCACAGACAGTCTTTCTACAGGTGGCCAAATTATTTCGGAAGATGATTTATTGTAGCATATCTTGGATGGATTAGGTCCAGAATATGATGCTATAGTGGTTAATCTTACATCAAGAATTGAGTAACCAAATGATTCTACGTCATTACAAGAAGCACAAATTCTGCTTCAAAAATATGAAATTCGATTGGACAAGTTTAATTTGGTTGATTTTCACAATAGTTCGGCACACTCTATAGCAACAGTTGACACTAAAGATTTAACAACATCAAACACTGTTTCTCTGCCTTCTCATAGTACCTATAATGTGTCTCAAGTTGCTAGTCATTCCCTTGATACAACTAGCCATCACAAAATAAGTGATACCTATCTTATACTTGGTTCCCAATCTAGACAAGGTTCCTTTCCTAATCAATTTGGTGAATATGTTCACTCACAGCCTCCCTTCATTCAACAGTATGGATACAACTTAGCAACGGTATGGATACAACTTAGGAGTTAATAGACTTGCTACTTACAATCCTTTTGGAAGAGATCGTGGTAGAAGAAATGGTAAAGGAAAACCTGTCTATCAAGTCTACAATAAGATAGGTCACATTGTTATCCATTGTTATCCACTGTTATCATCGTTTTAATTCCAATGACGATTGTGGTTTTTCAATACCTGGACAACAAAGTCAATATGGAGTTTTCAATGTTCAGCTCAACAACACTATGATGGTTTTCATGGTCCAAGTTATCAAAGTTCTTATCAAGGATCAAATAGTTTTCATTTGCCTAGCTATCAAGGCTATCAAGGACCTAACTTGCCTCTTGTGTTAGAGTAGGTGCCCTAGAGCCAATTAATTATTGTAGAATTGACTCTCTGTAATAATTTTTATTAATCAATAAAAGGCAATTTTCTTCTATATCATGTAAATCATAATTGTGTGTATTGATATATGTCCATAGGATGGTAGAACCGTGATGAGGGTATCAAATATTTCAAATCTTGATAGTGAAAACCCTATGATCACATATGATGGACATTCTAAAAATGCCCATAGCCACAATATTGTTCTGGCCAAGGACACAAATAATACGATAAGACTATCATAGTGTTGAACGACCCTATCAAAAGATAGTGACTGATCTCATTTATTAAGGTTATTTATCGACAACCTAGTGCGACACGTGGGTGCTTGCTATAGGCAAGTTCACTAACAAACTCATTAGAGGATTCCATATGGATGGTAACCCAAGTGTCTATAGAATAAATCATCTAACAAATGGTGGTGCATATGATCTTCAAACTTGAGATCACCGGAGCACCTTGTGCACCGATTGGTGTAGTTTAACACTGGCCCAATATAGTTCTATTCGGAGCTACCAATACGATAGTGATTGGCTGTATCGAGGAGTGTATCAAGACTATAGTGGATCGACAAAAGATTCATCACTCCCGAGTACGGAAGAAGTTATCTTACGACGCAGTTCAGTGAATAGCAATGACACTAAAGCTGTAGCCGTAGTAGGATTGAGTTGTTGCTCAATCTAATTTATTATTTGGGTCATTGGTCTAGTTGTTGAATACAAAGATATTGAGGATAACTGAGGTTGACACAATTTCTGTACCTTAGCCTCTATGATATAACAGATGATGAAATGATTTGATTGCACAGTAACCATGATGTAGGATCTTTGAAGATCTCTTTTAGATTCTGTCCTTAATCAGTGTAGAAAGTATTGCTACGTTTAAGCTATTACAATTTCCATAATTTCCCTTATTTTAGACTTATGTTTGGCCTTTCTCATTATCATCATTTCAGGCTTAAATTAGGTTGTTGATTGTCTTAATTTAAGGAGTCTAGTTTGCATAATTTTATTCCTTTCCTTATTTCAGTTTATAAGCTCTTATCCTATAAAAAAGGATTACTATGAACATTGTAAGCACTTCTGAGGAAATATAAAATTTATCTCTTTGAGAGTTTTCTTTCCCTTGTGGATTCAAGGAGTTTTGGTGGATTCCAAAGCTATCGTTAGCATCAAAACGATATCTGATCCACTCTTGCTTTCATCTGTGTCAAACCATATCGTTGATAGATAGCTATTTCGCTGAATCCGAGTCTATCGGGTGGCCATGATGCCTTGCTAGGGACCAATCTTGGTCTGTGTGTAATGAGATGATTAATTGGTGTTAACCGCGATATTACTCATATTGATATGATAAGGAGCCTACGGGTCACACACTTAGAAAATAATTTAAGAATTGTTTTGTGAAAGGAGTATTTTCATCTTTTAGGACAAAAATGTATTTTTGGTAATCTCACAATACAATTAAATTTACTGAGGTTATTGCCTATATTTAATTTTAATATTAAAATTAAAATTAGTGAGATTATATTTAAATATATGTGCGCATATATTTAAATGGATTATTATTATTAATTAAATGTTATATATTATTATATATATATTAATTGATTTTAATTATAATAATAATTAATTAAAACTTAAAATATCAATTAAAAGGTGTTCGGTTGCAAGGGTGAATTAGGGTTGGAGCCCATGGCTATTCCTTATTGGAATAGGGTTTTAATTGTTGCACTATATAAGTGCAACTTAAAATTAAAACAATATACTTTATTATTCAATTAAAACCCTAGCCACTCTTTTAATCTCTCTCTCTCTCTCTCTCTCTCTCTCTCTCATGTTTTTGACATTAGTGGAGAGAAAATCTTTTTCTCTTCTTGGATTCTTGAAGCCATCAAGCGAATCTAGCAAATCCCTTAATAGTTCTATGGATGATCTTCGTGTGGACGATGTGAGTGTGATTCTACTTTGAATCAAGAGCAAGATCAAATCAGAGATATTGAAGGAGCCTCCAAACGTTGGTAATTTATTTTGAATCCTTGTATGGATTTGGTTTTTTGATTTTATATAGATTTGTTACTTTACATTGGTTACGTTTTTAACATGCAAAACGTTATAATTGTTGCCTGGATCTTTGTTTTTTAGAGGAATGACAGTTTCGGCTTTAAATATTATGATTTTATTGTGTTTTTTCGCTGTTGAATCTGTTCATTTACTACATCCTGCACCCCAAAATTATAAGAGCCTTAGTTACCCAAATCAATCTCACAATTCTGGTTTTTCATCAGCACCACCATCTCAACAATTTCCTCAGCATTCTGGTGACATTAATCAAGTTCACTTTGCTGCAAAGCGGTC